TTCCTAGAGATGTATCAACTACCAAAACTGAACCAGGATGAAATAGAAAACCTGAACAGACCTATAACCACTAAGGAAATTGAAGCAGTCATCAAAAATCTCCCAAAAAACAAAAGCCCAGGGCCAGATGGCTTCCCAGGGGAATTCTACCAAACATTTCAAGAAGAATTAATACCTATTCTTCTGAAACTGTTCCAAAAAATAGAAACGGAAGGAAAACTTCCAAGCTCATTTTATGAGGCCAGCATTACCTTGATCCCAAAACCAGACAAAGACCCCATCCAAAAGGAGAATTACAGACCAATATCCCTGATGAACATGGATGCAAAAATTCTCACCAAAATACTAGCCAATAGGATCCAACAGTATATTAAAAGGATTATTCACCATGACCAAGTGGGATTTATCCCTGGGCTGCAAGGTTGGTTCAACATCCGCAAATCAATCAATGGGATACGATACATTAACAAAAGAAAGAACAAGAATCATATGATCCTCTCAATAGATGCAGAAAAACCTTTTGACAAAGTACAGCATCCTTTCTTGATCAAAACTCTTCAGAGTATAGGCATAGAGGGTACATACCTCAATATCATAAAAGCCATCTATGAAAAACCTACAGCGAATATCATACTCAATGGGGAAAAACTGAGAGCTTTCCCCCTAAGGTCAGGAACGCGGCAGGGATGTCCACTATCACCACTGCTCTTCAACATAGTATTGGAAGTCCTAGCCACAGCAATCAGACAACAAAAAGAAATCAAAGGCATCCAAATCAGCAAAGAAGAAGTCAAACTCTCACTCTTTGCAGATGATATGATACTTTATGTGGAAAACCCAAAAGACTCCATCCTGAAACTGCTAGAACTCATACAGGAATTCAGTAAAGTGGCAGGATATAAAATCAATGCACAGAAGTCAGTGGCATTCCTATATACCAACAACAACACAGAAGAAAGAGAAATTAAGGAGTCGATCCCATTTACAATTGCACCCAAAACCATAAGATACCTAGGAATAAATCTAACCAAAGAGACAAAGGATCTGTACTCAGAAAACTATAAAATACTCATGAAAGAAATTGAGGAAGACACAAAGAAATGGAAAAACGTTCCATGCTTATGCATTGGAAGAACAAATACTGTGAAGATGTCAATGCTACCTAGAGCAATCTACACATTCAATGCAATCCCCATCAAAATACCATCCACTTTTTTCAAAGAAATGGAACAAATCATCCTAAAATTTGTATGGAACCAGAAAAGACTCCACATAGCCAGAGGAATGTTGAAAAAGAAAAGCAAAGCCGGCGGCATCACAATTCCGGACTTCCAGCTCTATTACAAAGCTGTCATCATCAAGACAGCATGGTACTGGCACAAAAACAGACACATAGATCAATGGAACAGAATAGAGAGCCCAGAAATGGACCCTCAACTCTATGGTCAACTCATCTTTGACAAAGCAGGAAAGAATGGTCCAATGGAACAAAGACAGTCTCTTCAACAAATGGTGTTGGGAAAATTGGATAGCCCCACATGCAGAAGAATGAAACTGGACCATTTCCTTACACCACACACAAAAATAGACTCCAAATGGTTGAAAGACCTCAATGTGAGACAGGAGTCCATCAAAATCCTAAAGGAGAACACAGGCAGCAACCTCTTTGACCTCAGCCGAAGCAACTTCTTCCTAGAAACATCGCCAAAGGCAAGGGAAGCAAGGGCCAAAATGAACTATTGGGACTTCATCAAGATAAAAAGCTTTTGCAAAGCAAAGGAAACAGTCAACAAAACAAAAGACAACCGACAGAATGGGAGAAGATATTTGCAAATGACATATCAGATAAAGGGCTAGTATCCAAAATCTATAAAGAACTCATCAAACTCAACACCCAAAGAACAAAGAATCCAATCAAGAAATGGGCAGAAGACATGAACAGACATTTTTCCAAAGAAGACATCCAAATGGCCAACAGACACATGAAAAAGTGCTCAATATCGCTCGGCATCAGGGAAATCCAAATCAAAACCTCAATGAGATACCACCTCACACCAGTCAGAATGGCTAAAATTAACAAGTCAGGAAACGACAGATGTTGGTGGGGATGCGGAGAAGGGGGCACCCTCCTACACTGTTGGTGGGAATGCAAGCTGGTGCAGCCACTCTGGAAAACAGTATGGAGGTTCCTCAAAAAGTTGAAAATAGAGCTACCCTATGATCCAGCAATTGCACTACTGGGTATTTACCCCAAAGATACAAAAGTAGGGATCCGAAGGGCTACGTGCACCCTGATGTTTATAGCAGCAATGTCCACAATAGCCAAACTGTGGAAAGAGCCAAGATGTCCATCGACAGATGACTGGATAAAGAAGATGTGGTATATATATACAATGGAATATTATGCAGCCATCAAAAGGAATGAGATCTTGCCATTTGCAACGACGTGGATGGAACTGGAGGGTGTTATGCTGAGCGAAATAAGTCAATCAGAGAAAGACATGTATCATATGACCTCACTGATATGAGGAATTCTTAATCTCAGGAAACAAACTGAGGGTTGCTGGAGTGGGGGGTGGGGTGGGAGGGATGGGGTGACTGGGTGATAGACACTGGGGAGGGTATGTGCTCTGGTAAGCGCAGTGAATTGTGCAAGACTGTTGAATCTCAGATCTGTACCTCTGAAACAAATAATGCAATGTATGTTAAGAAAAAAAAAAGAAGAAGACAGCAGGAAGGGAAGAATGAAGGGGGAAATCGGAGGGGGAGACGAACCATGAGAGACGATGGACTCTGAAAAACAAACAGGGTTCTAGAGGGGAGGCAGGTGGGAGGATGGGTTAGCCTGGTGGTGGGTATTGAGGAGGGCACATTCTGCATGGAGCACTGGGTGTTATGCACAAACAATGAATCATGGAACACTTCATCTAGAACTAATGATGTAATGTATGGGGATTAACATAAGAATAAAAAAATATACATATAAAAAAAGAGATTTCCATTTTTTCTATAAAGGGAAGCCTCCTTTTAATTACTTTTAAATATAAATATTATTTATTCAACCTTTCTAATAATAAAACTCTATGTTATATATAGAAAGCTTTGAAAAACTAAGAAAAAGGCCAAAGAAAATTCTTTTCACTCATAATCCCACCATTACTACTCACTTTAACGTTTGGATATATGTCCTTCTCTTATTTCTCTATGTACATATATTATTTTATAAAATTGGAATTACATTCTACCTACTGGCTATCAATCTTGCTTTTTTACTTATGATTTTCACATAGAGGTAAATCTTTTTATGTAACAGAAAAAAAATTTTTAAAGATTTTATTTATTTATTTCACAGAGAGAGACACAGCAAGAGAGGGAACACAAGCAGGGGGAGCGGGAGAGGGAGAAGCAGGCTTCTCACTGAGCAGGGAGCCCGATGTGGGGCTCGATCCCACGACCCTGGGATCATGACCTGAGCGGAAGGCAGACGCTTAACAACTGAGCCACCCAGGCGCCCCTATATAACAGAAAATTTTTTTAATTTCACAGCATGCTACCAAAAGGAAATATCATGATTTATTGAACATATCCACTATTATTGGAAATTTTCTTCATTTCCAATGTTTCATATTAAACATACTTTTTCAGTGAGTAACCTTGTTAACTCTTTAAATGCCATTTTAATTATTTCCTATGAAAAATTATCAAAAGCCAAATTTCTGAGTTAAAGGCTGGGTAATTTTTTTCCTACTCCCTGCTGAGCAGGGAGCCTGAGGCAGGGCTTGATCCCAGGACCCTGGGATCATGACCTGAGCTGCAACCGCTTAACTGACTGAGCCACCCAGGTGCCCCTAATGATTCAACACTTTGATACAACGCTTGGCGCTCATCACAGGTGTATTCGTTAATCCCCATCACATATTTCACTCATCCCCTCCCCTTGGGTAATCATTTGTTTGTTCTCTATAATTAAGATTCTGTTTCTTGTTTTTTAAAAGTTCTAATATTACAAAATTTCTTGAAGGGATAGTGCTTAATATTTTCAAACTTTGACAAGATAACTCAGACACACTGATACCAAAAAAATCTCTTTCTGCCCCATAATATAGAGATTCCAAATAAGAGATTCCAGCATCTCATACACCTATTTGGATTATTATGCTACTTGAGAAGGAGTTGCTTACACAGTTTTACCAAAATTCATTAGAACTTTAATAAGCAGATTTTTTTTTAGATACAAGAACCTAGACTAACTGGTCTTGTGGTTTCCATAGCAGGCAAGTCAAGTGCTGTTAGATCTGTGGATGTTTGGGGCACTGGGTGGCTCAGTCGGGTGGACGTCTCCCTTCAGCTCAGGTCATGATCCCAGGGTCCTGAGATCAAGCCCCATGCCGGGCTCTCTGCTCAGTGGGGAGTCGGCTTCTCCAACTCCCTCTGTGCTCTCTCCCTGTGTTCTTTCTCTTTCTCTCTCTCTCTCAAATAAGTAAAATCTTTTTTTTTAAGGTTTTATTTATTTATTTGACAGAAAGAGAGAGCACACAAGCAGGAGGAGTGGGAGAGGGAGAAGCAGGCATCCCGTGGAGCAGGGAGCCCGATGTGGGGCTGATCCCAGGACCCTGGGATCATGACCTGAGCCGAAGGCAGACGCCTAATGACTGAGCCACCCAGGTGCCCTTAAAATCTTTTTAAAAAAAGAATCTGTGGATACGCTACAGAATGATCAAGCAAAATGAGGTTGTCTGTGCTAAGGGGTATTTGTACTAATCACTGTGTTGTGTTTCTGGTGTAAGAACATAAATCCAAAGTCACCTTCTGATAGAAAGCCATGGACAGTGTGGAAATTAAAGGCACAATTTAAGAGCAGTGATTGTGTTTGATGGATGATGAGCCTAAGAAAATAGAAGCCAGCGTCCCTTGCACACACGGCCACTGGCCCTATGCTAAATGCTATGCTTGCACTGCATCATTTCAGCCTCAGGAAAAAACCTCCGGGTAAAGTACCATCCTTATTCCTGTTTCCAGATGGGAAGAAAAAAAAAAAAAGACCTGGTGCTAACAGAAGTCACCAACAAAGATCTATGTGCGTTTTCTCTCTGGGAAGCACCTGGAGAGTGCAGATTTTGTGTTATTTCTCTCTATCTCCCTTCAGGGCTAGCACAGTGCTCAGCTCATGCCATTAAATGATTGTGGAAGTTATGTAAATTTAGGTTTCTGAATTTGTTCTTCTCTCAGGTGAGCTGGGAGGAATATGCTTCAGCGAGAGTCCACATGGCTTACCTCACAGGGGACAGAGGGATCATGGATGAAGATGGTTCCTTCTGGTGGACTGGTAGAGCTGATGATGTCCCAGGTGTGTTGGGGTCAGAGGCGGTAAATGCTTGTGGTTACTGCTATTGAGCGTGGGGCTGTGGTGGTCTGGGGAGGGCTCTGGACCACCTCAGATACATAAGCATTACAGAAAGTTTAGAAAATGCAAATAAACAAAAATAAAAAAATAAGAGTCATTCACCATCTCATATTTTGGTGTATATTCTTCTAGTCTTCTTTCTTCGTATATAGAAACACTTTTTTAGTAGAAGTGAGTTCAAGGAGAAATGTTCTAGCATAACTTGTCTTTTTCATTCAGCAATATAAGAGAAATGTTTTTCTGTGCAATAATGCATATTTACATAATACCATTTTAAAATTTTTAATTAAGTAAAACATATATTCAGTAAGTACACAAATCTTACATGAACAGCCCAATGAATGTTTACATATTTATGCACCTGTAATCACATTTAGATTAGGACATAAGATATTCCCAGCACCCTAATAGGCTCCCTCATGTCCTCACGCCTCTGTGAAAACTGAACTCCTCCTTTTATGAACTTAGAAGTAAATTTCTGTACCTAAAAGCAGTTTCAGGAATTGGGAAAAGTCCATTAAATCCTAAGAGCAATAAATTCTGAGTGGCAGGGCGCCTGGGTGGCTGAGTTGGTTAAGCGACTGCCTTCAGCTCAGGTCATGATCCTGGAGTCCCTGGATCGAGTCCCGCATCGGGCTCCCTGCTCGGCAGGGAGTCTACTTCTCCCTCTGACCCTCCCCCCTCTCATGTGTTCTCTCTCATTCTCTCTCTCTCAAATAAATAAATAAAATCTTAAAAAAAAAAAATTCTGAGTGGCAGATGCCTGCAAGCAGATTCCATGGGCCATCCCAATTCAGACCTGGCCAACCACAAAAGTCACAGGAATGTTAAATATGACAAGCAATTTGAACATCCCACTCTCTAAATCGCAAACCTGCTTTCCCAGTGTTTTGACACAACTTAAAAAACTCAACTAAAGTTTGCTCAGGAAGTCTCTCCTCTGAGCACTCCCTACTGGAGTTAATTCTGAATGAACCACTTCCTTTCTTTACCTCTAACTGGTCTCAAGGTTTACCTTTAGCCTCTCTTTCCATCAGTAACTATTATTCTGACTTCTAAAACCATAGATTAATTTTGCCTGCTCCCTTATACAAATGGAATCATCCCGTCTGTACTCTTTTGTGTCTGACTTCTTTCTCTCAAAATAATGCCTGTGAGATTTATCCATGTCATTGTATCTGTATCAATAGTTCATTCTTCTTCATTGCTATGTAGAATCCCATTGTATGAATAACACCTAAAATTTACTTATCCACTCTACTTTTGGTGAGAGAATGGGATTGATTCCAATCTGGGATAACATGAATAAAGGTGCTTTGAATATTATTCTACATGTCTGTTGCTGAATATATGCAAAGATTGATGATTGATATAGATCTAGGAGGGGAGATGTGAATCATAAGGTATGCATATTTTAAGTTTGATTAAGATATTACCACAGTTTTCTAATTCCCAATTTATACTCCTACCACAGTGGAGGCTGAATAAAAGTTCCATTTGCATAATTATGCTAAGCGAAATAAGTCAGTCAGAGAAAGACAAATATCAGATGATTTCAATCATATGCGGAATTTGAGAAACAAAACAAATGAGCATAAGGAAAAAGAGAGAGAGAGGCAAACCAAGAAAGAGACTTATAACTATAGAGAACACACTGATGGTTGCCAGAGGGGAGGTGGGTGGGGAGATGGGTGAAACAGGTGGTGGGGATTAAGAAGCACATTTGTTGTGATGGGCACTGGATGTTGTTTGGTTTGCTGAATCACTAAACCCTACACCTGAAATGAATATTATACTGTATGTTAACTGGAATTTAAAGAGAAACCTTTTTTAAAAAAGTTCTATTTGCTCCATACCCTCAACAACACTTGTTACTATGAATCTTTTAAACTTTAGTCATCCAGGTAAGTCTGCAGTATTATTTCATAATAGTTTTCATATAATTTTAAGGGACATGTAGTAGTTCATTCTGTCAAGATGATAAAGTTTTTTACTTTACTAATCCCTTATTGTTGGAGGTTTGGTTTTTAGTTTTTTTTCAATTTTTTACTTTATAAAACGCTTGGATGATCATCCTTTAACATAACATTTTTGTATGTCAGTATCAGAAATAAAAAAGGAGTTATCGCTACAGATCTTACACATATTAAAAAGACAGAGGTGCCTGGGTGGCTCAGTTGATTAAGTGTTGGCCTTAGCCAGTTTTGGCTTAGGTCATGATCTCAGGGTCATGGGATTGAGCCCCATGTTGGGCTCTGCACTCAGTGGGGAACCTGCTTGAGATTCTCGCTCTCCCTCACCCTCTACCCCTCTACCAGTCTCTCACATTCTCTCTCTAAAATAGATAAATAAATCTTTAAAAAAAAAGATAACAAGAAAATACTATGAACAGTTTTAGGTCAACAAATTCAACAATGTAGATGAAATGGAAAGATGCCTCAAAAAATAGAACATACCACACAAAATAAAACAAAAATCTGAATGATCCGGTATCTATTTTAATAACTGAAATAATTATTAACAACCTTACCAGAAAGAAAGCCCCAGACCCAGGTGGTTTTACTGGTAAATCCTATCAAACATTTATGGAAGAAATAACATGAAACTTACAAAAACCCTTACAGACAGTAAAGGAGCAAGTAACATTGGATATTATCAGGTTTTAAGTCTTGGCCAATGTGAAAAGTGAATAATCTCAAAAAAAAAAAAAGTGAGTAATCTTACTTGTCTTTTGATTACTAGTAAGATTGAAGTTTTTCTGCTGTTTACTGTCCTTTTTCGATTTTAAAATCTGAATGTTTATCTTTTTCTGACTCATTTTTTAAAGATTAATTTATTTATTACAGAGAGAGAGTGCATGAGATCGAGGCGGGGGAGGGGAGGACGTGGGGAAGGCAGAGGAAGAGACAGAATCTCAAGCAGACTCCCTGCTGCATGTGGAGCCTGACACTGACGCAGGGCTCAATCCAACAACTATGAGGTCGTGACCTGAGCCAAAATTAAATCAAGAGTTAGACACCTAGCTGACTGAGACTGCGCATAGGGTGGTGTGCTGATGATGAAACGAAAAGTCCTCAATTTGCAGTCCTTCCACCTACATGCTATGGCCTATAATACCTGCTTGCCATTAGAGCACTTTTGAGTTAAGGTATTATCTCAAAGATCAAAACTGTGGGAGGAATGGATCACGGATCCAGTCCTTCCTCTATACTGGAAATCACTTACTAGATTTTCAGTAGCGCCCTGAGGCACAAGGAGACAGGATAGTTTGGTTTTGACGGAAAAACAAGATAGGTCATGAAAAACCAGAATATAAAAACCATAAAACTCCACAGTACAGGGACGCCTGGGTGGCTCACTCGTTAAGTGTCTGCCTTCGGCTCAGGTCATGATCCCAGGGTCCTGGGATCGAGCCCCTACGTCGGGCTCCCTGCTCGGCGGGAAGCCTGCTTCTCCCTCTCCCACTCTCCCTGCTTGTGTTCCCTCTCTTGCTGTGGGTCTCTCTGTCAAATAAATAAATAAAATCTTTAAAGAAAAAAGAAACTAATGATGTACTGTATGGTGAGTAACATAATAAAATTTAAAAATTTAAAAAATGGCTATGTCCAAAATTCATCAGATGCCATATTTTTGCCTGCAGATCTAGCTATTATTAAGGTCCCAGGGATATTCTGCACTTGACTCCCTGGGGGCCAGAGGAAACAGCCTTGCTGACATTTCTGCCAAAAAATCTGCTCAAAAGGAGCTTGAGAGTCAGGCCTCTGTCATGTTCTGAAGGGATGTCCTACCAATTGACAGTTTGGAAAAATTGATCAGATATGCCCAACAACTGGGCCCAGAGAAGGAGAAACAATGTTGGGAATCTAATGACTGATAAAAAGAGAGAATTCTGCCTTGGATCAAGTAACAATCTGGCCCTCCCCAAAATTCTAAAATTCCCATGCCTGACAATAGTACAAACATTAAACCATTGGTCTAATAACAAACTGATAGTGTTCATGAACCAATATTGGTGGGGAAATATTAAGAAGGCTGCAAAAAAGTGCCTACCTTGCTCCTCCCATTGGTCCAAAATACAATCCTGGGAAAGAAATCCATACCTCCCGTGGGCATTTAAACTGCCCAATGAACCCTTTGAGATTTGGCAAGTGGATTTCATGCCACTTCCTCATCTCATGGAAATAAGTGTTAGTCAATGTGCCTATGTTTCCTCACTGGACCAAAGCTTTCCCTTGGAGAAAGGCCAATGACTCGTGTGTGGCTGAAATCCTGTTAGAAAAAATTATCCCTCCCAGGGAAGCCCTCTTGAACTACACAGTGACCAGAAAACCCATTCTACCGTGCAGGGCCCTCACCCCGTTTGTGATGTTTGGCCAGTTTTACAACACTTTCATTGTACATTACTAACCCCTATCTTCACAGATGGTCCAATGCAATAATGGCAATACTGGGGACTCAATGAGCAAAATGTGCAAATTTTCCAACTACCTGGGACAAAGGCATTGCTGTTACTCCTTCGAAATCTCAAGTCCACACCCTTTGGAACTCAGACTCTCACCCTTGGAGACAGTCACTGGACATCCATGCATTCGACCACTGCCCCTTTTGACCCACAGGTGGGAAAAGGGGATATATTTCAATAATGCAAACATCTAGTTGCTTCTATTAAAACTAACCATGTTGTAGCAGAGCAATCTTTTCACAGGCCACTCCCAGCGGACACTTACCTTGATCATCACACCTTGCAACCTGGAGAGTCTCTCCATTGGAAAAGACACCTCCACAGAGATTCTCTTCAACCTCCCTTGAGAGGCCCTTATCACATACTGCTAACCAAACCTTGTGCTGCCAAATCCCAGGGAATGGACTCTTGGGTCCACGGGACACATTTAAAGAAGGCACCAAACCCTGACTGGACCTGTACACCAGCTGGTGACAAGAAGGTAAATACTTCCCAAATTGCAATAGAAAACATCTGGGGAGACAGCTTGCCCCACATGTCCAGACCAGGCCTGCATTCCTTTTCTCACTGTTGCTCCTTCTACCTCTTTTGTGCAAAGAACATGCCATTTTCTGCATATCCCAGTCTCTTGCAAAAGGAGGAAACCTCTTTGGATTATGATCTTCCCTAAAATCGCCTCCTTTTGATCTTGTGAGCATTTCTAGAGGTTTAGAAGGTTCAGAATTCAAAAGTCTTTCTTTTACCTCAACTACTAACTGAATCCTGATTCTAATCCAAATGCATGGTTTCTGAATTTACAACATAACAGACCACTACTGATAACCCATATAGTTCTAAACAGTTCTTTTGAAAGAACAATACTGTTTTGAAATGTCCCAGAAGTATTCCTATTCTTGCAACAAGTTCTCTAACTATTGCTTCATGTTCTTCAGTGTACTCTATGTTCCCTAATGTGCTCAGTGATTTCATTCAGTGCATTCCTGCAGTATTTGTCTGTTTTGTTTCTAGCCACTGGGGGAGGACACTTCCAGGAGGCATACAGGACTCCGGGTTTGCCTTCAGTCCAAACAAGTGCCAATAAATATTTTCAGTTGGCTCCTTTCAGACCTAGGGTCCTGGATTAAAACCAGCATATGGTTTGGAATTGTCATCTTGTTTTTGATTCTGTACTTGCTGTCTCTCAGTCCTTTGTAGAAACACTGTCTCCAATGAAGTGATGCTGGCTCACTGGTCTCAGTCTTGAGCAGATACAGACTTCACATGGGAAGTTCGTGAGTTTCTCCCATCTAACCCTCCCTGTTCCTCAGGTGTCACTTGAGTAGTTTACAACTGCCATGCACATTCCCTCCAACATGAGACATGCCAATCTGAAAAAGCTTTGCTGGCACTGAAACACAAAACCACTAACTACAAAGAACTTGACTGTTGATCAGGAAGCCTTCCAGGGACACCTGGGCGGCTCAGTCGATTAAGCGTCTGCCTTTGGCTCAGGTCATGGTCCCAGGGTCCTGGGACTGAGTCCCACATTGGGATCCTTGCTCAGCGGGGGCCTGTTTCTCCCTCTGCCTCTCTGCCTCTCTGTCTCTCTCTCATACATACATACAAATAAATAAAATCCTAAAGAGAAAAAGAAATTCTCCCAAGGAAACTTTTTTAAAGTTCTTATTTACAATTAGTCCACATACACTATGATACTCATTTCAGGTGTACAATCTAGCGCTTCAACACTTCCAGGCAACACCTGGTGCTCATCCTAATCCCTATCACCTATTCAACCCATTCCCCCAAACACCTCCCCTCGGTAACAACAGGTTGTTCTCTCTACTTAAGAGTGTTTCTTGGTTTGACTCTTTTTTCTTCTCTTGGCTCATTTGTTTTTTTTTTCTTTATAAACTCCACAGATGAGTAAAATCATACAGTATTTATCTTTCTCTGATTTATTTTGCTCATCAAAGCAAATCTTGATCAGAAGGAGTGAGGGTGTTACACAAATACAATGAATCATGGAACACTACATCAAAAACTAACGTACTGCATGGCGACTAACGTAATAAAATTTTTTTAAAAGGGTAATTTTGAAAACTCCTAATGGGAAATGTCACAAAACACAGGCAGGAGGTTTGGGCAGGGGGAGCCCCCACACCCTACCCCTCCAAATAAAGTGGGGACCCAACAGGAAGACATGGACTTGACCTCGCACATGGATACTCCACTACTCCAGCTAGCAGAACTCTATTCTCATCTCTATATCCCCCCCTCACCTCCTCCAACAGGGCTCACCCACGAGAAGCTACAACACTTGGAACTCCCAGATGCCACCAATGGACCTTCGGTTCTTAACAGCCTTCCAAATTGCCCCCTTTCCTCCTGAAAACAGGGAGCCTCTCTGATATTCCCCAATGTGCCTACGGTTGAATCACAGCTTCTCTGTCCTGCATTCAAGTCTCTTTCCTTCCAAAGAAACCCGACCTGGGCTGATAATTCCCTGAGAGTTTCTACCTTTAAGGTTACAAACTGGACGGTACTTGGTTTTTACCTGGGGCTCTGGTTCCAGCAGAAATCAGAAAGTGGGATCCCAGCTCATTCTTCTAGAAGGTCCTGAGAGGCAGCAGTTAGCGTCTTCACCTCCCAACTAAATGCTGCTCCCCTTCCTCTTAATTGGAGTCAGGATTTCTCCCCAGAAACAAGCCTGCATCTGTAACAAAACCACCACAGCATCTCTGACGGGGCGTCGCGGGACCCCTCCATCCACGGATGCCCGAGTCAAATACCTCTTGTTCAAATACCCTCAGGGAAAATAAGGACCAAACCAGGGCAACAGCCCCCCAAATGCAAGCGACTGTGCTGCTCACCTACCAGCAGGGCCTGGGAAGCCGCCCAGAGCCCCCTGCTCAGCACTCAGCCAACAAGGCTGCTTCTCCTTCGCTCCTCAGGAGGCACCAAGTTGCTGCAAAGGCCCCAGGTTCTCCCAGGGCGGCGGCAGAACTTGCTGGTAAACGCAGCCCTGGCTCTCGGAGGGTAGTGGGTCCTCGGGGGGCAGCAGAAACCTCTCCTGCCCTGCGGTGCCCTGGGTCAGAGAAGGCCATGAAGTCTTCCTACAGCAGGCAGTTGCTGCGCCCTCAGGGAAACCGCCCCCCCCCCCCCCGTCGGAGGAGCGCGCGCGCCCCCGCCCCCCCGTCGGAGGAGCGCGCGCGCCCCCGCCCCCCCCGTCGGAGGTGCGCGCGCGCCCCCGCCCCCCCCGTCGGAGGTGCGCGCGCGCCCCCGCCCCCCACCGTCGGAGGTGCGCGCGCGCCCCCTGCCGGCTGCCCTGGGAATCCCTACAATTCTCCAAGCCATGGCTGCTCAGCTGCAGGCACTGAGGGTGCTTGGGTCCCGCCAAGCCTGTTCTCCAGACTGGGACAGGGCTTTGTGACGGTGCCTCAGACACAAAGACATCTGTACCTTCTCCTTTCTGTGTCACTGAAGAATGAAACCGATTTTGTCAATGTCACTAGGGAACTGCTAGCGCTGCCACCACTCCCCTCCAAAATACAGACTGCAAATTGACATAATGCAAACTCACGTGCTTGGGTTTACCCACCAAAAGGTTCCTAGTACATAAAACACTGACACCCAGTACACTATCTTAATTTTGCTTTCAATCTTCTCCCTCTTAAGAACAGAATAATTTCCGGTCAGGTCAGGATATTGAAATTCCATTTAGGTAAGACATCATCTAGCACCATGATCTTGATCGTGACAGCGTAGTTTCAACTTTGCCAATCAAGTGTTTGGGAACACATAGGTGACAGGGTCCAAATGCAAACCTAGAGGGAGCTACACATGCCTTATGAATTACTGCATGTCTCCTGAGATAATGTTTTCAATGAAAAGTGATTTAGACATGGAAGATGGATGAAATCGTTTCCATCAGTCTGGGAAGGAACCCATTTTACCTTCAAATACTAATTGCCATCCGGTCACAACTAGAAGAAGCTTGGTGAAGTATGACGTTTCTGCTTGGATGTAAGAGAATGCTTGGGGTTTGTTTTTTGGTTTTGTTTAAGATTTCTTTTTGACTTGTTCCCTCTCTCACTCTGAATGAGAGACAGTGAGAGAGGGAACACAGGCAGGGGAGTGGGAGAGGGAGAAGCTGAGCCGGGAGCCCGATGCCGGGTTTGATCCCAGGACTCTGGGATCATGACCAGAGCCAAAGGCAGATGCTTAAAGACTGAGCCACCCAGGCGCCCCGAATGCTTGGGGTTGGAAACTGTCCACCTACCATCCTGCATCAGGATCCACAGTGGACATGAGGATAGCAACCCCCCCATCCTGCTGCACATTGCTAGCTCCGGAGGGAGAACACGGACCTTATTTTCGAATACTTTGGGTCGAGATCAGCAATGCATCTGTGCCAGTTCCAGGCTGCAGGATCTGGGGCCTGGTTTTGGAAATTGAGCAAGGCCCCTCTGGTATAGGAGGGCTCCCTGGCCCACGGCCTCCACACACCTGGACCACCTCCCCCTTTCCTCCTTGCAATTCCTCATTGTCCCTTCTTCTCTCGACCCCTATCTCCCTCTGATTCTTCCTCACCCTCTCTCAGGCTCCTGGTGGTGCCACACTCCCTGGGTGTTGTCCAGAAGTCCCTTGAGAGAGAAGCTTATGAACTTTATGAATTAAAATGGTCATGGAGATCCCACACAGATCAAGCATGAGATGCAGCTTGGCATTTTTCCATTTATGTGCATAATGTAAACCCCACACTAACACCTAATAAGGTGACAGAGATAAGGGGCATTTCTAGGGATGTTTAACGTGTAACACCTTCTCCCTTAATATGGGATGATTTGAACACCATAAATCTTTCTATCCAAAGGCAAATTCCCAAGACAGAAGAGGTCTATTTTACTGCCATTTATTCAGTATCATTTTCATCCAGTTCCCACTGATTTTTCCTTTCAGATTTCCTTCTGTAGTTTTGTTCAAAAGGCTATTCAATTACCAAACATATGTGGCAATGCTAGTTATCATTTCTTCAATGATCCAGCACATTTGCAACTGTGATCAAAGAACATCCTTTGTGGGTTTCACTCTTCTGAAATATATTGAGACTTGCTTTATGTCCAATTCATGCTTAAATTTTATAAACATATGATATGTCCTTAAAAATAATGACTCTCCTTTATCTTCTTGGTAAAATAACCTATAGATTTCTGTGTATAACTGTATGTATTAATATATATACATATTTCTGTATCTGTATATATTCATTTTATACGAGTGTAGAATAGTTTTATTTTTTAACTTCTATTTTATCTTATCTAATATCTAAATGCATAATTATTATACATGTATTTTATGTCTTTATTTTGTATCTCCTTCTATATGCTATGTACTTTATATGATTATGTATCTACCTCTACATTCAGATGTTTTAACTGTCCAATCTTCTGTATCCTTACTAGTTTGGGGGCTGCTGAGAGAGGGCTGTGAAAATTTGCCACTCGAGGATTTTATTTTTCCTGCATTTTTTTTGAAAGATTTTATTTATTTATTTGAAAGAGAGAGCAGAGAGAGAAAAAGCATGAGTGGGGGGAGGGGCAGAGGGAGAGGGAGAAGCAGACTCCCGCTGAGCAGGGAGCTGGATGTGGGGCTCAATCCCAGGTCCCTGGGATCATGACCTGAGCTGAAGGCAGACGCTTAACTGACTGAGCCACCCAGGCACTGCAAAAGCTTGCCCTTGTTGGTCGGTTGGTTGGTTTAGAAAGTTGTGGATTTTTATCTGGATCTTTTTGTCCATTCGCATTCAATGGGACTTTTTCTCCTTGACTTTACATTTATCATCTCATGATGTGCGTTCTATTTGTCCAGACTTCTCTAGTTTTTCTTCTCCTTTTAAAATCTGTTACTATCTGATATTATGCCCTTCACTTTGATCCTGCCTCATGAGCCACATGGAAAAAGTCTAGTTTCACTGTAAGTAAGTGGTGTTAAGTTCACCGTGGTTCCCACAGTCCATATCTTGTGCCCTAACATCATTTCCCCTAAAGACCATCTACTGATAACTGGTGGCTGAATTGTTATGTTTGTTTAAAGGTGATTTCTTCTTTCCACTGTCTACTTGTATCTTTAATTCTGAGCAATCTTTTGTAAAGATCTTTCCCTTCTCTCAATCTCGATTTTCAAAGCTTTTCTTAAGGAGTACTCTAGACTCATGGATTATCATTCAGTATTGGGAAACTATTCCTGCCATGATTCATTTTGATCTGCAGGTTGTCTTCATTTGGACAGTGGTGACCCTTTCAAGCTGGTTCCTGCATCCTTTTCACATGAAGAGGTCCTCATTCTTGGTCCTCAGAAGTTCAGGCACGGAAACCCAGAGCCTGAGAAAGGATTCACATCTGCTTGATAAAAAAATCTCTCAGTCTACATCAGAGTCCAGTAAGTTTGGGGAACAACCTGATGGGTCCGATAAAGGTTCTGTTTGGTAAATAACCTCATCAGAGGTGGAGTAAGAAGCCACTGGCCTGAGGTCAATGCTGAGTCTTCCCCCAAGACAGGCCCTCTGAATCTATTCTTCCCGGGGTAGGCCTTTTATTCTGTTTTCTCTTCTCCACGAAGAATATTTTGAGTTCTATGAGGATTTAAATACCCCTTTGCTCCCTTCACCAGAAAGAATCAAGTGGCATGTAGCTCTATAAAAGCTCATAGAGTCTTGGGTAGAAGGGAAGGCTCTCCGTTGGTTGGAACCCTAGCTCCCTCACTCTCTAGCTGTGTGCCTTTCTCTGAGCCTCAGCATGCTCATCTCCAAAATGGGGGTGACAATGAGATTTTTCTACTGTAGGGCACTGTCGCCTGAGAGCAGAATGATTACTGACGCACACCTGACATAAAGCACTCAATAAGCCTGACATCCTATTCCTTACCTTTCCTTGCCTTGCATTTTTTTAGCTACTGTCTTTATAACTGGACCATTTCTCAGGGCAAGGCCTAAGCACTGGGTGTGTCTCCCGACCACCACCCCTCCCAAAATATGCTGGTGCTCTTCCCAGTGCCTGGCAAAAGCCTCGAGTTCAACGTAATTGTGTTGAATTCAATTACTTCTTTGCCATAGATCAATATCCAGGCAATCCAGGACTCCAGACTGGGGCCCATTCCCTCGTGCAGTCCCAGGACTTAAGTAAAGGCAGAGCAGGACCTTCAGTCATACTCACATCCCCTCCTACTAATCAGAGGGGATCAGGGGAGATGGAGGACCCAAGGAACCTCTGACAGCTGAAGGGTGGGAGTCTGGAGCCAAGATGGATCGTGGGAAACCTTGGGGAGCAGAAAAGGAGGACGTGACACAGAAAGTGGGAACAGGGGAGGTGGGGTTGGATGACAGTGAGTCTAGGACTGGAGACAAAGATAAGGACTGGGGATGTATCTAGGGTGGGCATATAGCCACACAGTACCCTTATGGACAAAACAGGAGTCAAAGAAGAACCTTCAAAGGCTAGGGTATTTGAGCTCAATAATAGTGCCACTGATAATGATCCTACAACAAATGTCTCCTTCCAGCCTGAGCATTCCACTTTGTGTGACAAGTTGAATAATCTCACTGTGATCTATGTCAGTCCACCACCTTGTATGTGTGGCTTTTAAGTTTTCACACACAAGGGAAAAATGTAAGTTGATTCTCATGACCCAGCTTTGAGATCTCCCAAGAACGTGTGTCTTTTAAAAGCAGATTCTCTCCTGGGGCACAGAGGGACAATACCCACGATTCTTGGCAGCACCAGGAGTTAGGAGTGGTTGGGTCCCTCAGAAAGTGACTCTAAGACAAGGATGTGGTATAAGTAGTTTCTCTGGAAGGGTCTTCAGGAAGCAATGACAGGAGCTAAGACGTGAAGGAGTCGAGCCAACACACAAGACGGTATTAGTTTAGAGGTCACGGCTGTGGGCAACTCTCCGTCTACTGGGAACGTCCAGAAGACTGTGCAGAACAGCCCTGAGTCATCCCGCCCATGTATGAAAAGACCTGCATGGAATGAGTGCTGCTCTCGTGGACATGAATTACCTGGCAGAAGAGCTCACTGCCCCAGCTAAAGAAGCCATTAGGAAGCCAATGGACACACTCAGGCAAAGAGCTGCCGGCAACTGCAGTATAGGCAGTCACTGTGTGTGCAGGATGGGGGGTGCCAGTAATGACAGCAGGGCACCAACCCTCTCCTCACATGTGTATATTCAATATCATGACCCCTGGGATCTGAAACATTGAGAAATTAGTGCAGTGCTCCACGTCATACGCCAAATGACTGGCATGGTTCCTTACTTTTATTATCACTTACAGTCCCAACACTGATACTTCCTAAATAACAACTTCTGTCCCATGAAAACCCGAACTCCACTATTTGAGTCTAGAAGTTTCAATTCAAGCAACTTTTCTAATAAGCACTCTTCAAAACTTGCCAGGGACAAAGACATACTCCTTTAACAAGGGATGGAGGACTACCTAAAGTCTATACCTTGACTGCAAAACAGTGAACACTTTCCTCCTCCAGGAAAAAAATTCCCATTCCCTGGAGTCTCAGGAGGCATGGGACCTGAAGCTTAAGAGTGCTCACTAACCTTGAAATCAGTGTTAACCAAGTGCAGTTTTCCAAGCTTAACAGCAATTGATAGTATGTTGCATTAGTGACAAAAAAAAAAATCTAATCATGTTCTCTTCCTATAAACATTACCAATTAACTGTGCAGTAAACGCATGTTTAAGTGGAGGACACTCTGTGCTTTTACCTGGGGCTCTGGTTCCAGCTGTAACAAAACCACCACAGCATCTCTGATGTGACATTGCAGGACCCCTCAATCCACGGATCCCTGAGTAAAATACGTCTTGTTGAAATACCCTCAGGGAAAGGGAGGAATGAACCAGGGGAACAGCTCAGGAAATGCAAGCGACTGTGCTGCTCACCTACCAGCATGTCCTGGGAAGACACCCAGAGCCCCCTCCTCAGCACTCACCCAACAAAGCAGCTTGTCTGTGGCACGTCAGGAGGCACCAAGTTGCTGCAAAGCCCCCAGGGTCTCCCACAGGGTGGTGGCAGAACCTACTGGAACCACAGCCCTGGCTCTCTATCCTGGGGCAGCCAGAGTCGGGCTGGATCCTTGGGCTGCTACAGAAGTCCTTCCTGCTCTGAGATGCCCTGGGTCAGCAAACGCAGAGAAACCTCCGCGTCCCGGTGGAGGTGCGCGGGCGCCCTCTCCTGGCCGCACTGGGAATCCCTACAATGCTCAAAGCCATGGCCCCTCAGCTGGAGGGACAGAGCATGCTCAGGTCCAGCCAAGCCATCTCTCTCCATGACAGATCCTGAGGCTCGGCCCCACAAGTCCATGCAAAAGGACGTGTGCCCATCTTCCCAAGTGAAACGGCCTCTGCAAAGCTCAGCCCTAGGAAGGTGGGAGCTTTGGGCTCAGGGAAATCTGATCACCTGCTTTCCCACCTTCTCGGGTCCCAATGCTCAAAGCACCTACATCGACCTCCTCCACCCTGGTCCACGGTCCACTTCCATACACCTAGACCAGCAACCTCTTTTCATCCTTGAAATTCCTCTTTGTCTCTGCTTCTCTCTACCCTGTGTCTCTCTCTTTGTTCCTCTCACTTTCTAGGACTTGCCCAATCCCCCCACCACTCACTCAGTGTCTCTCTCCCTGACAGTCTCTTTCCCTATCTCTCCGCAGGCCCTCAGGCCTTCTGCTCTGTGCAGCCCTGTCCAAGACCACAGGGAACCACCTCTCCTGTCTCCCCCTCTCTCCTGCCATCATTCGGCCCAGACCCTGCTCACAGGGCATGGCAATCCCATTGTCAAAGGCTGCTCAGGCTGACCTTGACTACAGCAGTGCAGTTACCAGCCACTCCTGGGAAGCATGTGGACAGACAGACCTGGACACCTTGGTGGCCCAGCCACGACCTCAAAGCTACTGGAGGATGGCTGCTTCCACAACCCGGGAAGAAGGAGGGCTTTGCAAGACCCAGGAGTTGTGGTGCAGAATGGATTGGAGTAAAGGACTAAAAAGTGACAGAAGCATACACCCAACTCCTCCTGTGTGGTGAGGGAGGAATGGGTCTCTTGTCATTGGCCTCTGCCCTGCCCATCCCTCAACAAGGAAACTGGGGGCGGATTATGGGGCATCGTGGGTCTTACCAAGAAAACTGTCACCATCAGCCCCCCTCAGAGCCCATCTGCTGTTGGGGGGCAGCTGGTAAGGTGAAACCAGTGCACAAAATCTGGATTAATGCAGGGCCTCCTCACCGGTCTCCCAGGGCCACTAGGGATGCTTCGTTCATTCCTCACCATCACAACAGACCACTGCCTGGGGACAGACACCTGTCCTGCTGATCACCACACACCCCTTAAACTAGCAGGCGCCATGTGCTCAAGAGTATCTAGCACCAGAGTTCATACAACCACCAACAGACTTAAATACATGTTGTGTCCGCCTCCCCAGAAGGATTTCTTACGCCCCTTGCAGTAAAGATACCACAAAGGGGACTCTTGCTACTATTCTCCGTCACCACCATTGCTGCCGGTTTGTTTTCTGTGTGTACGGGCTTCACAGCGTGCACTCGAAGGGGAGCGACTGTAGGGCGTCCTGATGGCAGACGCTGACACAGAGACAGAACCGTGGAAGGTTTATTTGGGGGATCCCAGGAGAGACAGAGCACAGGGGACAGGATGGGCAGGGACAACATTCAGGACATTAGGCTGATCTGACAATTTTCTAAATATATGCACACACAGCCTGGTTGTTACTGCTCAGGGAGGTCTTCAAATAGCAAATGTACTGTCCTGTAAGGCAGACGGATTGGGGTTAGTACACTGTGACCTTATGTTTTCCTGAATGCATTTGCTTCCTCTGGTATATCTGAGGCCTTGAATGAACACCTGAGGGTGTGGCTGCTTCCGTGAGTCTGTATGTAATAGAAAATAACTGTCTTCACATCTCAGATATGAATCTCTGAATATACATGTTCTCATAATGATCTTTTACTTCGTTCTTGGCTAGGACCTAAAATTTAATAGAAAAAAAAAGGGGGGGTCTTTGCCTTATTTTTGAAATGAGGATGCCAATCTCTGGGCTGAGGTGTTATACTCTCAGTGTAATGTTGTGGACTTAAATGAACATCTTTTGATGATCATCTGATGGAGCTATTTTCATTTAAACAGTGAGAAGGGGGAGTGGCCAAGAGCCCAGATATTTTGCATATTCTTTTTCTTTTCTTGAGATAGAGACCGAAAAAGGGCAAATTTGTGCTGGAAAGGCGGCGTGGGGGGCGTGGGGGGCGTGGGGGGGTGGGTGGGGAGGACAGAAATTCCTAGATAGGCTCCACACCCAACGCCGAGCCTGACTTGGGGCTCGATCACAGAACCCTGAGATCATGACCTGAGCAGAAATCAAGAGTCCGATGCTTAATCGACTGAGCCACCCAGGGGCCCCTGCAGATTCTTTATGTACTTCAACTCCTATTCTTCTAATGACCTCAGAATCCGACAGGCTCCCCTTTCACAGATAACAGAGCTGAGGCTCTGAGTAGGCCCCACGGAGAGCTGGCATTCGGGCAGGAACACAGGTCAATCCGCAGGATACTGTGACCAAAGTTCAGGGAGATGCAAAGTGCAGGCAGGGCGGTGACTCAGATGCAGAGGCGTAGTGACAGGGATCCAGCGAGAGTGGCTCCTGGTCAATCCTGAATGCCCCACGAAGAGTCTGACTCGGGCTGAAGGCCAAGGCAGCCACTCTGCTGATCTTGGTCCCGTCTTCACTTTTTCTCACTGGGGCCCACAAACTCAGGCAGACAAGAATCCCCAAAGGAACCGAGTTCAATTTCCCAAGTCTCCACCACATTCTTTCACCCAGTTCAGAACCTTCAGAAATTCAGAGGAAACAACAATCCTTATAGATTATGAACGAACAGCTTTATGGCAACCATGACGTTCTGATACAAATAATTGCATCATCCACGCTGTGTGATGGACACAGGCAGCAGCTCGGTGTGGATCTCACGGTGTCCTCACACTCACTGCTCAAGCTGCTGGCCTGCAGGAACGGCCTCCGCTCTACCCGAGAGAGGCCCATCCACTCCCCTGAGCACCTCCATCCTGCTCATCCACAGCCTCCTGTTTCTAGTGACTCATGGCTCCCTCTCTGGTCCTTCAGATCCATCGCTGGGGCTTCCCTTATACGGAACACAACCTCTCTGTCGTTTAATGAATGTGTCCCTCGCTGCTCTCAGACCCCTGAAATTCCCTCCTCATCCCTCCCAGAGCACAGAATATCGTCTCTGCACAGTGTGCATGCGCATACCTGCTGTGCCCAGCTTTTGGAGAAGAGCGGCTCTCCTTCACCACAAAGGGACCTGCTGACCACCTCAGTATGAGTGAAAGACAAAGTCCCTCAAAGGCGTCTCCTGAGCAACCTGAAGAAAGTGATCATGTCCTTAGCAACATTCACTCTCCCATAACATGAGAGGCCTGCATGTAGGACTGCTATTCCTTATGGAGGATGCCCCAGCGTCTGTATCTGACCCACGTCAGAGAAAAGACGGAAGACCATCCCACTGGAAGTGACTGAGCAACATTCTAACAAACCGTCTACACCTGCCTCCAGCATCTGCCACTGTTTCTCATTCTCAACTCCCTTACCGGACAAGAGGGTTTCCCACAAGTATCCACTGACTGCCGAGGACAAGGGACAGACCCCTGCCCTAATGATTAATCAAGGGACCATAGCCCTGCTTCAGGTGTTTATATAACTGAGGAAATGAGAGCTCAAACTCAACACGCTGAAAACAAAGTGAGAGGTGTGTTTCATCCCGCCCAGAACAACAACGGTGGACTCTGGACGTGCCCGACGGTAAGAAATATATGTCTGCCATTGTGCGATAGAGACACTTCCTTCCCAACAACGGCACCTCCCCCCGCTCAGTGTGTGGAAATAGCCCAGCACAACACCTGTATGTCCTGAGAAACTTCAGGATGTTACAGCGCCCCCAGGCGGTTTTCCCCTCCCAATGTCAAGGCCTCAGCACAAACTTGGCCTTTGCCCCACCAACTCAATAAGAAAGAAGACAATACAGATTATAAGTCAAATCATACAATTCATATCATCAAACCCTGTGGTGTAGGTTCGGGAGCAGGGTAAGGATGCAGAGACCACTGGGTGGGTGGAGGGAGATGTGCCCCAGGGCTCCAGGATGGTGATGAAGGGGGATCCGTGGGGTACGGTGGACCCAGTGGGCCGGGTACAGGAGCAGGTCCTCTTGCATCCACAGGGTTCTGCAGAACAGAAACCAAAGGAATGTTGCTATGACAGACAGAAGCAGAACCCCCATCAACCTGAAACCCGAAGAAGCAGGGGTCAGCACGGTGAGAAGTCCGGAGAAGCCCAGTGTCCACACGTGGAATCACAGCCCCTCGTGGGTCCAACTGCTGCCCACCAGCCCCCGCCTGACCCTGCTCCGCTTCCCTCCCTGACAAAGGGGTCTTCTTCTACTCTCCCAAGTGCTGTCCATGGCCACAGACACCGCTCAGGAGACGGGAGTTTCTGGAGTCCTGCAGCGGACCGGGAAAAGTGCTGAGAAGAACACGATCCCGATGAGTTCGTGAGACCCAGCTCTGTGGATCTGAGTCACCGACATTCCGATGCTCCTCAGCTCAGGCACAGAGCAAATGCATAGTCCTTGGTGCCGAGAACCACTGAGGGGCCCATTCTGCATCCCCGGGTGCAAACCAATGTGTCTGGAGAGCAGGCGTGACCCTCCCAGGGTGGATCAGGAGAGACGCTATCAGTCGGCACAGCCAGCAAACCGCATCAGAACCCGCTCACGGGAGCACGACTGAAACGTGTGTGAGCCGTGGGCCCTGCAGGGAGTCACCGGGATTCCCTCTTCACGGCTGTGCTCTGGGAGGCGTTTTCTACCACACAGCTGGCCCCTGGCAGAGTTCACCTTCATCTCACCCAGGGAGCAACTGGAGGGATTCCGGGTCGCGTCTTTACCCACACAGATGGAACGCACGTGAGGTCGCAGCTCACCTTGTCCACCAACACTCACGGCTGCCCAAAGCACGTGGCACAAAGTGTGAGGCAGGGCATGGCTTTTCCCGTTTCCAGCTGTGAGGATTACCGCAGACATTCTCCCAGCTTAGTCTCCTGACCCGAAACCCAACACCACTACCGCTCCCGCGGGAAAGCAAACTGCAAGGAGTCAGCGGGACTGGCCGACTTCAGTGTGGAGTGAGATATTGCTCTCCTCCAGGAGTTTACACACACACACACACACACACACACACACACACACACACAAGGGCAGGGTCCTGCTCTCCTTCATTTCTAAGCACGTGGAGCTTCAGGACGCCCCGCGTAAGGTGATGATTTGGAAACAGAGAAGTCTGTAGGCTCCGAATGAAGACTGGGCATATTGAAAGGTCAATGACACCACACACAGATCCCAGGACATACCCAATAGACACAGGTCAGGACAGGGTGCTGCCCAGACAGGAACAGGATTCCAGAAATGGTTACAACTGAGAAAAGACACAGTATTTACCTAGTCCTTCTGTGGGACCTTCTTGGGCGGGGTGCCACTGTTGTCCCCTTGAGAGCCACAGGTTTCTGAATACGACCGAAGCCCTGCAAGGGACAGAGGTGGATTCAGACTGGCCTTGACCATGCAGGATGCAAGCCAACCCTCTACACCTGCCCCACCCTATTCCACGCTCTCCCACTCCCACATCCCTTCCAGATTCAGAGCATTTCTCACAGGTCTCCTCTCACCCCTGCGGACAAAGGAGAGACAAGTCCCCCACAACTGAGGATGTGATCAGTCCACCCAGTGACAGATGTTTTCAGAGCTAGTGAATAACACTGGACAACTGGGGCCTCCACAAGTAACAGTGATTTGAGGTTGTGCTTCATCCATCCCAGGGCCCAAAACATTGTGTCTGGGCAGTGCCCATGGGCAAAGCTTTTATGTCTGTCCTTTGCAAACTGTCACTTTTCTTCTCTATGGCAGACACCTGCTGCCCATTTCTGTAGGGTGAAACAAGACAGTCCATGAAATGGATGTCCACAGAAAGGTGACGAATGCTACTATGTCCTCACTCAGGTCGATCCTTGCATTGCAAAGCCTTCTGGTACCTCCTCTACATCTTCTCCACCAACAGAAGTACTTAAACTATGAATAGGCTTTACGATTCAGGTCATCCAGTTCAGATCATCTTACCATGTGTAGCAGGAATGAGCTGTGGTTGAGGCCCCCATGTCCACCCATGTGGAGGAGGTGGAGGTGGCCCATAGCCAGGGAAGCCTGGTAAACCCTGCCCCATGTGGTAGGGCATATGGGGGGGCCTTGGAGCATGAGGAAACCCTCTCACATCTGTACCGACCTGCAGAACAGAGGACAAAATATTTGGGTAAGACAGCCAAAAGTTGCAACACCAAGAGATGAAACCCAAAGAGCAAGCTCTCAGCATCTGGCTCCTTCCCCAATACCACGTTCCAGGAGAGCCACGTCATGCTAGAAAACTTTGTCCCTCCCAATTGCTGCCTACTATCATAAGGGGGGGGACGGGGAAGGAGAAAGGATGTTACAGGAATAACCTACTGTCATCAAACATCACTACCCAAGTCTGCCAACATCCACTACCAAGAAGTAGAGTCTTAAAGGGTGAAAAGGGATCACTGGAAACAAGTAAAGCAGCCCACACTCCAGACAGGGAGGCATCGACATCGTGGACAACACTTCATCTTTCCTCTTCAACCACCGCAGAAGATTTGGGTTTGTTAAGAATAGACAGAATGTGATGAAACTGAATGCCCTTTCTCCACAAGGAATCCGAGCCACTCGAGGTGAATCCCTTGCCTGCAAAGCCCCTGACTGTCCCCACCTGCCTCACTTCCTGACAAAGCGGTCTTCTACTCTCTGCAGTTTCTGTCCAGGCCACAAAGACCCTTGAGGATTTAGGGGCCTGTGGTCTGATAGGGGACCTGGAAGAGGGTTTTCTGAGAGGAACATGATACCAATAGCCCTTATTTACGTGCAGCGGCTGTGTTTATCTTAAAACACAGTCATTGGAATTTTCCGCACACTGAGTTCCAGAGCAATTTTGTCCAGTGGGAAATTAAGATGGGAAGGCTAACTAAGGCTAACTTTTGTGAATTTTGAGAATTCACAAAAATGTGTATGCTTTCTGACGGACAACTCCAGAGCGTGTGATGAGAGAAGAAACCAGCTCTCACAGTGACCTAAGACCAAAAGGACCTGCTCCTAGAAGCCCAACTGCAGGGCTTGTGAGGCCCGGGTCATGCAGCTAATCACCGACATCCCCGCTTCAGAATGTGTGTGCCAGGACACCCCCCACTTTGGAAATTCACAACAGTCGTTGAAAGGGTACAAGTAGAGGGATTCTGTACAGCATTTGTACCAGCAGAAGGAAAACAGGGATGACTTATGAAACTTGCCCTATCTAAGAACATTCCAAACTGCAAAACAGACAATAGAAAATGGAGAGAGAGTTTCCCCTAGTTTCCAGTTGTGAGGATTACCCCAGACCTTGGCACAGGTAAATCATCGAACCCCAACATGAACACTACACCAATCGCACCTGATCGGAACCTACTGACTGGCAGTCAGGCCGGCCAGAGACTTCACTGTGGAGTGACGTGTCATCCTCCTCGAGCTACTTTCCCCCACAGGCATTGTGCGTGGGCAGGGGTGGACGGATGGACACAAACACACACACGCACGCACACACTCACACACACAAGCACACACGCACACACAGTGAGCGCCCTGCCATCCTTCACCTCTAAGCACCCGTGGCTTCAGGAGGTGCCACCGAAGGTGAGGATCTGTAATGGAGAAGCCTGTCAGCCCCCGGGTGAACTGCTTGTATTTTGAAAGGTGAACGACACCACAGACAAACCCTAACCCACCCAACAGACACAAGGCCAGGACAGGGTGCTGCTCAGAAAGGGAAAAGTTTCCGGAACACCTGGTAGAGGCCACAGTAGTTACCTTGCTCATCCCTGGGTCTCTGTGAGGCTCGGTGCCCCTGTTCCCCATGGGAGACCCACCAGTTTCAGCATCAGACCAAAGCCCTAGAACAGATGGAGGTGGATTCAGACCAGCACTGACTGTGCAGAAATCAAACCAACCCTCCAAACCCGCCCCTAACACGTTGCCCTCTGTCCCACTCTTGGGTCCCTTCTCAGACACACAGCATTTCTCAAAGGTCTCTGCTGACCCCTGAGGACAAGGGGGAGACCTCTGCCTCTCCCCCTCGAGGATGGGACCACCATCGCCCAGCTTGCTTCAGGTGTTTTCATAGCTAAGGGGACAGCAGTAGACTGCTCTGGGCTCAACCAGCTAAAAATGGATAAACCCTCAACATGAACGGCATGCATTCTCTTCTCAGGCCGCCAGTTGATGGTTCAATCCTTCAGTCTATAGATGAGGCCTAGCATGTGTGGCTGGCTATTACATAAATATTGAAGAGAAGAATTGGAGTACACTAATCGTACAGCCAGGAGCAAAGTAAAAATAGGCAGATTGAGAAGTAAAGCTGTGGCTTTATACCGATAACATTAGAGGAGTAAAATGCATGAATTTCATGGATTAATATAGGACTGTAGATGACGAATAAAACAAAAATCAAGGAACCTCCATAAAGAGTAAATAAATGCCATTTTTCTCCATTTCTTTTTTTCCAAAAAGTCTTCACCATTGCATCAAGGTGGGAAGGGAGCTCGGGCCCACAACTCCTCCAGGCTCAGCTCTTCAGTAGGTGGGTGGTAGAGGAGGTGGGAGGGTCTGCAGTCACGGGAGGGGCATGAGCTCCACCTGTCACAGGGACAGGTGCCCTGCGGCCGGTGGGCACCTGAGGAAAGCACCCTCCTGTCACCCCTTCAGACAACCTGCTGTCCTTAGGTAGTGCTTGTGATTCTCTCCAGGACACACAGTGATCACCCACAGGAACGGGAAGGACACCATGTGCTCTCCCAGCAGAGATCAGGCTGCTGCATTTCACAGCACGCTCCCTACCTCTCTGCACACGGTTCTGTGTCTCAGGTCTTCCCGGCATCGGTTCCTGCCTCATGGATCCCTCAGGCAGCATCTCTCTCCTCATCATGTGCAGTCTTGAAGACAGAAAAAGAATGGACGTCTATAAGAATGACACCACCATGTCCTCTACTAGACACTAAACAGCTTAGCCTTGACCCCTCAAGACGCCCAGAAAAAGGCACGTCAAAATCACACACCTGTGTTTCACATAGGCGTTCTCCCTCCTCTGCTGCACTATCTTCCTCTCCCAAACCTGAGCCTTGATCTGGGGGAGAAAAACACATCCACCTTCAGCTGTGCCGGACTGGGCCCCAAACGAAGAGGAGGAAAAAGAAAACACTTACCCAATTATCTAGAGCACTTCTCTCATGAGCTGCGATCTGAAAAAGTCAACACACCAAGAGCCCATGTTGGGGGATCGAAGGGCCACTTCCATCACCTGCAGGAGGCGCTAAGGGGCCAGGAGGTTGGGGCACAACTCAGGTTACCTTGTGTTGGAAGGTGAGCTCTGCCTCCTGCAGCTGATCTTGCATCTCTCCAATTTCTTGCCTGTGAGTTATAAGTGCTCTCGTCAGATAACACCCAATATTGGCTGTGATTTTAAATCATCTGCCCACGTGGCCATTCTCCTCTTATCTGTCCCCTCATACAATTGATCCTCACACAGGAAACACTTTTCACATGGTTATAATGTACAGTAGGATCAAAGCTATTGTTACCTCTTTTCCGTAATCATTTTTCTTCCCCTGCAGGGTGCAGAGTTGACATAATTTCCTTACCCATTTTCAATCTCGCCCTAATTTATCACGTGACAAGGGTGCCATCAAGTGTGCTGGGCAACTTCTATCCTCGCCATGGCTCCCAGGGCGGCAAAGACCAGCGCCATCAGATGGCCCTGCCGGGCTTATGGGTAGGATGCATCCTACGACAAACTGCTTTCCTCCAGATTAGGACAACTGACACCACCCCCAGGGACGATGGCGTGGAAGAAGGCTCCACAGAATCAGGCCAGCGCTGGGGATCAGGACATGTTTAGTAATGAAATTGCTTTGTTCTTTCTAGAGCTTAACTTTTTGTGTCTGTTAATTCTCTCCGGATATGCCTCTGAATTTTTGTTTATATTACATGTGAATTGAGTCTAAACAATGAAGAAAAGTTAAAAATACAAAGTGAACAGGGATTTCAGGAGCCGCTAATATTCAGTGTCTGAACTCACTTGTACTTGTCCGTTGCTTCTGTGATTCCTTTCAGATTTTCCATGGCAGCGGACAGCTGACTCTCTGTTGCCTCCAGGTCACAGCGGGTCTTTGCAACCTTCCTAAGACAGGAAAGGTATAGACATGGTCCAGTAGCCAAGATCCAGAAGTTCTGCCGTCATTCCTCCCAGCACACTGGATGGCCTAGATTCCAATGTCCCTCATAAATGCACAGACTGACAACACAAGGAGGGAAATGAACTGAAGGTCCCATTTAGGGTTAAAGAAAAATCAGACTCTGGATGCTGCCAAGTCCCTTGCAATCGGAGCTGTCTTTACACTTCTCTACTTCATTATCAACTCCTCAAGTAACATTGCAGCTTGTGTCCTCTCAGAGTTGGTCTTTTGTCGGAGACGGTGAAGGCTCCTTTCAGTTCAAAGTGAAAAACCAAGCCTGACCAACTATAGGATGAAGCAGGGGACCATCGTTAGTCGTACACCTCCATGGGGAGCCCTGATCCTCAGACCAAGGCTGTGCCTGACAAAATGAACCCAAAAGGAAGCCTTCCAGAATATGGCTTCATCAGCATGGCAACTCACTCCCAGACATCTCTGGGTCTACAACTACAACCCCTGCCTCCTCCTTTGAAGAGGCCAATCTTAGTACCAGCAATATGTCCTGAAGCGCAAAAGGCTGTGAACTGTCACATAGCCAGTGTGTTATCTCCACGCAACAGATTTCAGATGGAAAACTATCAATTGCATGGAGTCAACCGACTTTAACAAGACTGAGTTCACTGATAGTGAAGGCAGCAACGTGCGATGCTTAAAAAGGCTGCTTTGCTGTGCTGCCCTCAGACTCTTTTGCTCATGGTGTTGATTTAAAGGGTTTCAAGAGGACACCTCATTTCCTCAAGATCACATGCCAAAAGACTCTTAGAAACTGAGTCAAAAGCTCCCGACAGAGAAAGACACATGCATTTGCTTCTGGTCTCTCAGGCAATCCTTCAGCAAATGCTTTCTGGAGCGGCTGTAATGGAGTGGCTCAGTTGGAAGGTGTAGAAGACAGAAAGGTGGTCAGGACACTGTACCCACCCCCAAAAGAAATTTCCAATGAACTGAACCAAGATGCCAGTGACACAGAGCAGCCCCCATCCCCGCTGTGGGAAGGAATAACACAAAGCTGAGTCTCCAGGGAAGACAGGGAACAGTTTTGCTTTTCAACGTGAATGAGGGACTCTAAGGTCCTGATCTCCTCCTGAGAAAAGAAAGGAAACACTGGACAAAAGAGCAAACTCGTGAGGGAATGCACCCAATTTCTAAAGAGTACATGAAGAAACACGAGAACCAGATGGAGAAGAAGGAAGCCTAGGAGAAAGCCAGCCTGGCAGTGGGAGCCAATCTCCCCAGGACACATCAATACATTCTGGAACAGGCAAGTGAACTGTAAAGAAGCTGAACAACTTTATGGGCATGGGCTTAGAAGGAAACGAGTGAAGTTCAGGGTCAGCCAGCCAAGGTGAGCCCTAGTGAACCCGCAGGCTTTGGCTGGGACCCAGGAGAGTTACACCTAAAAAAATCCGGTGGATGGGAAATACCCTGGCCTTCTTAGGGACTGGGCGACAGTGAGTGATGTCAGTTGTATACTGGATGAAGGCATCCAGGACTGCTGGAGCCCCAACCCACTTTCCACAAGGAGACTCCCAGTGTTTCCGCAGCAAGACAATTCCATTTTTCTATCCCCATTATTGACCCAAGGCTCGTACTGAACCAAAAGTGACTGAATTCAGGGCTAATAAGAACATGTGATGACACGGAAACCAAAAGGACAAGGCAGACAGACCCAGAGGGGATCCAGGTATCAAAGGTTTTAAGGAGGGTACCTTCCCTCTTCTACTCCAAGGAGTCACACAACAAGCGTGACAAGCAGTCAGAACACAAAGGGAAATGCAGGTCACACACATCAAGGCAGCAAGGGCAGGCACAATTCTACAGAATGCATTTGGCAAAAATACTCTAGATCCAATTCTAAAAGAAATACACTTATCTAGACTGGCCGTCACCTAAATTCATACAATAGTATTGGTGACAATTCACACAAGAATAGCTTACTCTTCGGCAGCCGCTTGTCTTTGTTTAGAGAAATCCACCACGATATCCACTTTCCTCCTCAGCATTTTCAGTTCGGCTTCTTGAGTTGTTTTCAAAGAACTCAGGGCATTGCAATGGTCTTCCAACAATCGTCGACATTCTGGAAAGGATGAGTTTTCTTTTGTGTGTGTATGTGCACATGACCGGAGAACTTCGGTTTGATAGGGAAAGGAGAAGGGCAAGACCTTGAAGGCAGGAAGGCATTCCTTCCCTTCCCAATGCAAGCTCATTGCCACCATATGCGGATTTCTTCCCCCAAAAGAACATACCCTGCAGTTCTCGTTTTTTGGCCCTAAAGGCTCTCTGCTCTCCATCCTCGAATGCATCTTGGGCCTTCAAGACAGATATGAGAAAAGACATTCAGGAAATCATGATCACAGAACAACGTGAGGGTGTCTGACACCCTCCTCCTGCACAGGATCATGCAGTGCAACAAAGAAAGCCCTTAAGGCATAATGGAACAAGGAGGAAGTAAGCAAAGTGGAAAATAGTTCACGTCAAAGAACTCACAAATGACTTTCTTAGTGGCTTTCCTTCATATATATATCCACATACATACATATATACACATCTTCCCCTATTCACATTGAAAATGCTCTGTTTGGCATTAAGAGACGAAGGGACTGCACAGTTGGGTCAGCCATCGCCCTTCATCGCTCAAGTGTCTTGTGGGGATTTTCTACATATCTTGGAGGGCAGGGCTGAATGATGTGATCATTACCTCGCTGTGAAATCAACCATACTTCCTAGTCCTTATAAGAGCAAACCCCATCACGGTGGTTCTAAGTGAAATCCCAGCTCACTGCTCCGTAGGAGTTTCAGTTCCCAGAGGCCCACTCTCTACTGTGCTAAACAGCAAGCGAGGATGCTGCACTCATCTCACCCAGTGAACCAAAAGCCTGCCGGGGCCACATTAAGGTAAAACTCAACAGCCAGCTCTTACCACATCCTGATTCTTGACCTTCTTCTCTCTCTCAATTTGCAAGTGAGCCAGTGCCCAACGAAGGGTGTCATTTAAATTTTCATTAACTTCGTCAACCTTTTCGATGTTCTCCTTCAACAAAACATTTTGAATGAGTAATAATAATTCATTCCTTGGGGCACCAGGGTGGCATCTGGGTGGCACAGTCGGTGGAGTGTCTGACTCCTGCTTTCGTTTTGGCTCAAGGCCTGATCTCAGGGTTCTGGGATGGACCCCTGCATCAGGCTACACACTCAGCATGGAGTCAGCTTGGGATTCTCTCTCTCCTTCTGTCCCCTACCACTCACTCTTTCTCTCTCTCTCAAATCAATCAATCAATGTTTAAAATAATAATAGTGATAATGATAATGATGATAATTCATTACTTTTATTTCTGTTGTTAGGACACAATTCAGGCAAAGAAGGGATTCTTACCTTCAATTTAAGAACTTCCTCAGAGAGAAACTTATGTTCACTCTTAGTTTCTGCAACATGCTTCTTGCCTTCCCGGATCTATAAAACATATGAAAAAAGGAAACAGAATTCCAAAATAGCATCGTGTTACACAAACCTATCTACTAATGTGTGACTCCTTTCAAAATAGAGAGGCAGTGCTCTACATTCGTGAAGCTTCTCTTGAATCAGGACCATTTCTGGATCACATGAAATAGGTCAATAGGATGAACTACAAGAGGTGGAAGTAACCAAAATGAAATCACAAAAAGTATTTGAAAAGGCACTGATACCTTCAGCTCCCAAAGGGATATTTCCTGAGCAAGCTCCCTGTTTTCTGTCCTAAGTCGATGGATCTTCTCATTTATTTGTTGTAAGGTTACTAAAAGGAGAAAAAAGAATCGCAAAGATAATTAGCAAAACGAGTGACATTGAATAATCCCAGTGTATGAGCACCAGAGACACATTCTCTGACACTCGGGTGTAACTAACTTGTTAGCATTCCCATTGTGCCCTAAGGAAGCAAGTTTTAGCAGCATTTGAAACCCAAGACAACCTATTTTGGGGAGATTCCTACTTAAATTTTTTTCAAAGATAGAGAAACGCCCTCAAATGTCTTCTACGTTTACTCCCATCTGTAAGCACCAGTCTTGGAAAATGCAATCACTGCAAATGCTGATGTCATCCCCAGATATGTAACAGAAAAATCAAGCATCCTGTCAACTAACATTTCTCTCCTCCAATGATTAAGGTACAAAAATAGGTCCCTGCCAACAACCCAAAATGAACAAAACCATCCTTTGCTCCTGCTCAGCGCCATGTCCGTTTCCAGATCCTCCTTGGAATTCCACACAAGGAAAGCTCAAAATGGCAATTGAGTGACAACTCCAAGGCCTTCAGTGACTTTCTGCTGCTCACAGATTGCCTGTCATGAACCCTAGGCAGGGGCTCTGGAGGACAAGACCTTTGGAATCAAACACACTCGGGTACAAACTCCACGTTACAGTCTCTGGAGGGCCTGGATAACTCACACTCCCTGGAACACAAGCTTTTCTCATCCCAACATGAGAAGGTTACCCTCTACCCTGACAGGAAAACCACACTCATGAAGCGCCCTATCACAGATGGATAACACATCGAAGGTCGAGAACACAGACTCCTCTAACTGGCTCCTAATTCTCTCATCTTGGGGTACCTGCGTGGCTCAGTCGGTTAAGTGTCTGCCTTCAGCTTGGGTCACGATCCCACATCGGGTCATGATTCCACTCTGGGCCCTGGGGTCCCACATCTGGGTCTGCACTCAGTGGGGTGCATGCTTCTCCCCCTCCCTCTGCCAGCCACTCGGTCTGCTTGTGCTCTCTCTGTCAGATGAATAAACAGAATCTTTTAAAAAATAATAATTCTCTCATCTTACCTCAAAGTGCAAACTTCTCTTCTAGTGGCCCAATGTGAGCGCTCTCCTGCCCTGAGATCTCTCTTCTCACCACGCCCACTGCTGCACTCACAGGGACGAACACCAGCATTCGAGGGTTTGCTATGTGCCAGGCAGCCACCCTGGCCGTCAACAGACAGCACCGTGGAATCATCACAATCCATGAGGCCCGACACGATACATCAGCCCCACTGGCACACGTTCCTTTCCACTCATTCTCCCCTGGCAGGAAAGGCTCCCTCCACTTCAGACTCAAAACCATGGTTTAAACCTCTCTTGTGACACACGCTCTGTCTGGCAATATGTGGCTCCTTCTCTAAGTGTAGCCTGCTTGTTAGACTCAAAGAGTGTTTTCTCATCTTGACATTTCGCCAAGAGCCAGGTCATGGCATAGTACTCACTCCAGACCTCAGGCTCCTATCATCGCATGCCTCCTAAACATGTCTCTGCAAAATTACTCTTTCTATTCTCCCTACTCCCATGAAGTATACCTCCTCCTGGTCTCCTAAGAGATGGCAACACCCTCCACATTGTCACTTAGACTCCACATGGGAAAGAGAATGATTTTCAGGAGTTAACAAGTCACTTAGACATCAGAAGTCACCATATTTACCCCTAGTCGAATTATACCCACATCAAACACCGGTACTGAGAATTTACGACAATGAAAACTAAAGCCAAAAAACTTACCTTCATATCGCCGAGGCTTTATCTAAGAGAGGAAGAAACAAAATGAAGTTTGATGTCAAAACGTACTACTAGGAAAAATCTCTAGTTCAGGTCAATACCGAAACAGTCATCCAAGAAAATTACAATCATCATTTTGTATAGCAGAATGACTTCACAGGATTAAAAAAGAAGACAAAATTGGAATTTCCTGATTAAGTCATCATAGTTCACAATCCATTTCTGATAAGGAGCACAAAGGTATATAACTTAGTTTTGACCCCAAAATCTATTCACATACTGTGAAATGAACGTTCAACCTGTTCAATTCTTGACAGCGGACCATGCAGACATTTAAAAAAATATTCATTAATTCATCATTTCCGTAACTTTAATGCAACCCGATATGCACACTGAGTTCAGAAATGGATTATTATAAGATCCTGAAAGAAAGAAAATGGAAGGAAGGGAGGAAGGAATGTAGGAAGGAAGGCTGGCAGGTGAGCAAAGCTCTGACAAAATTATGCCGTTTTCCTTGTCCAGAAAGCTTCTCTGAACTATTACTAAGGGTTGGCTGTTTGCTGAATTCACACACAGTTATGGCACATCAGGTGCTATGAAGTTTCCCAGACTGCTACAGAGGGTCATCAAAAAGACAGAAAAGCCATCGAATGAGAAAAAGAGTGGCACGTGGCGAGAGACGAAGCATAAGCAACAAGAGAAATGACAGCGGATGTTTCAAAAGAGGGGAACCGGGCTATCCAGATCGAGTCACCCTGATAAATTATAGCTTAGTAAACTCTAGGCAAGACCCCATTTTGAAACCATTAACATATTTCCCCGTTCAAAAGTTTTACAGGATGAGGAGAGGCTGAGGCCCGCCCCCAAATCTTGCCAGGATATTGGAATATCACCATGCTATCAACAAGCCAGTCATAATAACGTTGTTAGAGGAAAGTCCATCAGTGGAGGGCAAACAGAAAACCATGGTGATTCCTGTAACTTCACATGTTGCTTAGGAATCTCTGAGTTGCTCTGGCCCTTGTCACCGAGCCCCACAGGAAGGGGAAGTGAAGAGACAGATGAGCACACCAAAGACGTCATAGTTTTGTTTTCCTTTTTTTAAAAATTTTTTATTGTTATGTTAATCACCATACATTACATCATTAGTTTTTGATGTAGTGACCTATGACTCATTCTGCATAACACCCAGTGCTCCATGCAGAACGTGCCCTCTTTAACCCATCACCTGGCTAACCCATCCTCCCACACCCCTCCCCCCTAGAACCCTCAGTTTGTTTTTCAGAGTCCATCATCATCTCTCATGGTTCATCTCCCCCTCCGATTCCCCCCCCCTTCATTCTTCCCCTCCTGCTATCTTCTTCTTCTTTTTTTCTTAACATATATTGCATTATTTGTTTCAGAGGTACAGATCTGTGATTCAACAGTCTTGCCCAATTCACAGCGCTCACCATAGCACATACTTGTGTTCCTTTTGAAGGGAAGGTTTCTCCATTGGCAGGGAGAGGGGGGAGATTCCATTTAGAAATAAACTCAGAAGTTTTCTGTTCTTCTTAGAAAGGTCTGCCTTCAAGTGAAACTATGTCCCCAGAGCCTAACTGGGCCTTTCCCAAAGACTACGCAATAGAGGTGAGGGGGAAAGTCTCAACTCCAATGCAATCGCCTCCCTGTCTCACCTGGGAGTAAACTCAGTCTAACCCCAGACAGATGAGTAGACAACCTCACCCTCACATCCTATTTACCTCAGTTCCTTTACCAGAACAGGAGATCTAGCTTTCAACACAACCGTACAAGGCATACTAAGGGTAAAAACCACGACAGCAAGCACTAGAATCACACTACCTAAGGCATCTAAGGCAGAGATGATGGCATTGGCAGGTTGGGAATTTCAAGTCCCTTCCATACCTGATATTGGATCTAAGCAAAAAGGGGGCAGTAGGAAGAAGAGGTGATGAATGTAAGCAGAGATATGAAACTCTAAGATTTTACCGGGATTCTGGACAATACCATAACAGAAATCAAGAATGCCTTTGATGGGTTCATTAAGAGACTCAACATACCAGAGGAAAGAATCATTGTGCCTAAAGAATTTCCGGTAGAAACTTCCCAAAAGAAAAACAAAGACAAATATTAAAAAGACAGCACAGAAAATCCAAGACCAGTGGGACAATTACAAATCGTGTAACACACACAGAATAGGAGCAGCAGGAGAATGGACAGAGAGGTAGTTGAAGCAATAATGACTGAGGATTTTCCTAAATTAATATAGCCACCAAACCACAGATCCAGGAAGCTCAAAACAAGGAAAGCAGGATAAATACCAAAACAAACACACCAACAACTAACGCCAATGATGCCTAATCCAGAATGTTCAGTCACAGGTGATTAAAGACAAAGAAACAAGTCTGGAAATCTGGAGCAGGGCTTGGGTGTGGGTGGTGGAAGGGGGAAGGAGAGCAGTAACCCTTACCCAAGAGGAATAAGGATAAGGACTACATCACACTTCCGAAACCTTGCCATCAAGAAGGATGAAATGTTTAAAGTGTTAACAGAAACATCCAACGAGAAACCTGTGGCCAGTGAAATGATCCTTCAAAACACACTACAGAGTAAGGAAAACCGTCGGGGATAATGATGGGCATTACTTCAACGGTAAAGGTGTCAATCCTCCAAAAGACATAATAATTTCTCATGTACATGCATTAACAACAGAGTGTCGAAGTACATCAGGCAGAAACTGAAAGAATTGCTGATGGAAACAGATGAATCCCTATTATAGCTGGGGAATTCAGAACCCTCTATCAGTCATTGACAGATCCAACAGATACAGAAATTCCATGAGAATACAGGTGAACTGAAAAGCATCACCAATCAACTGGATCCATTAACATCTGCAGAATAATCCATTCAACAACCAAACTAAAGACATTCTTCTCAAGTTCCCATGGAACATTCACTAAGAGAGGCCATATTCTGGGCCATAAGATACATCTGAACGACCAAAGGAAAAGAAATCACAGGACGTATGTTCTCAGACCACAAATGACTCAAACTAGACACCAAGTACTGAAAGATAGCTAGAGAATGACCAAAAAATGGAGATTAAACAACACACTTCTAAAGAACACATGGGTTGGAGGGCAGGTGGGTGGAGGGATGGATGAAAGAGGTGAAGGGGATTAAGAGTACACTTATTGTGATGAGCACTGAGAAATGTATAGAATTGCTGAATCATGTTGTACACCTGAAACTAATACTACACTGTTGGCCAATTATGCTTGAACTTAAAAAAAAAAAAAAAAGAACATATGGATCACAGAAGGCACTGCAACACAAATTTAAATCTATTTCAATCTAGGTGATCATCAAAATTGATGTATTAGAGGGATATTTCTATTACTGAATGGATATAAAAGGTCCAATAACTATAAAATTTTCTGCTCATTTATGAAGAACAGTATATATAAGCTACTTTAGTATACTTACAGCGAGGATGGTTCTCCAGATATAAATGAGAAAGACACAAACTCCCAAGGGGGCAGTGATAATGGGAAGTTTCCATAGAACTCCAACCCCATCAGGGCCAAGAAGGAAACGGTCAGGCACAACATGGACAAGCTGAAATAACACGTGAGACAATGAGGAATCTCAAAGATTTACAATGTCTCTGTCCCAAACAATCAACTTTACAAACCCTCCACCAGCCTCCCCCAGGTAAGCACACCTCTCAACTGCCTCCCCATGGAGGAGAAGGAGCACAGAGGGATTACAAAGGAACAGGGGCAAACTTTTGGGAGTGATGAGTGTGTTTACTATCGTACTGTGCTGATGGGTTTCCCTGTGTTTACCTATGTCAACTATCAACAAACTGTATTCTTGAAAAAGATGTTGTGATCATATATACATTATATAACACTGAAGCTGTAGGAAAAATCTAATAGACAAATCTTAAGAGATTTTATTTTGCCTACAAACACATGGCAAATAAATTTTCTATAGCTAACAGAACTTAAGAATTTATAAGCCAACATAAAATAGACAAGATAAGTAAATGTAAACTTACAGTAGGTAAGAAGTCACTGACTTCTATTGTACATCCATGAAGGACCTGGATAAACTCCTCTGGAACCTTTCCAAAAATAGGCCCAAAATTTATGGAAGAATGAGAAAAAGCAAGACTAAAAAATGTACTAGAGATATAAATGAGAATGTTCTATGGACAGATGTTTATAGATCAGGACATGAGTGAGAGAGAGACAGGAGGCTTCTATTAGAAGAATATGGGATTATTATTTCAACAAAAATAAATTCGAATTACTGTTTAGTTTCTGAAAACAGTGATGTTTTCTTTCAATGCCCACTTTGCTTCAGAATCACAGCCCAAAATGTCAGATTTCAGGGGTACATAAAGATTTTCATAATCAGGTGATCTTGTTTATTTTGATGGTATCTGTGACATTTTAAATTACTTGAACACCTATCTCCAAAAGCCAATGAAAGGCATTCATGTTCCTATTTCTCAGTATTGTAACTAAATCAGTCAAGAGCAACTCTAAAATTTGATTTTTAAAAAGATTTTATTTACTTATGTGAAAGAGAGAGCATGAGCAGGGGAAGGGGTAGAGGGAGACAGAAAAGAAGACTGCCGGCTGAGCAGGGAGCCCAAGCAGGGCTCAATCCCAGGACCCTGGGATCATGACCCAAGGCTAAGGCAGAAGCTCAACTGACTGAGCCACCCAGGTGACCATGAAATTTCATTTCTAAAAGAATACAAAATTCCTGGATATGGACACCAAAACAAAGAACACATCTCATTTTACAAAAACTGGAGTTCCAAGTATTTTAGGAGACAAGACGCTCACAATGCAATTCCTACTAATTCACACCAAGCTTGAATTTTGTGCAAACACAACTCTCTAGAAAGTACCCCTGAAATCTATAACATTTTCATCCTCAACCCTCACAGCTGAGGTCACAAACATGTGTGCTGGTGGGAAACATACACGGTCTTGGAACAGCCGCTGTCTGAAAGAGAACATTAGCTATCTGCTCAATGGTTGATCATGGGGATCAAATGCACAAAAGACAGAGGCCATCTTGTCACAAATGGAAAACACCCCCAGTTGTGGCCACGTGGTACATCTAGCAGCTGTCTGGATGCTGACCAGTAGCTGACTCTTAACTAGATGACATCCAATGGGGCCAATAACACTAGGTTCTAACAGACAATGGCCATGAGCAGGTGGAGGAGGGAAATGCGAGACCAGGTAGTTTATGCAAGAGCTCAGAGATGAGGGAGGGTGAGAAAGGCGAAGTGCTCTATGAGATGCAGCCTAGGCAGAGGGGAATATTTCCAATAAAGACTACGAAGAAATTCCCTCCATTGAAGACTCAAAAGAAACAGAATCGAGTCTATTTTGACTGGAGGTATTCATGTGGGATGATTCTGCCTCAACACTAGGGTCCTTCCTGACTACTCCCACTTTGCAAATCCCTCTCTAAGAATCTGGTGTAGGCCGATCTAAAGAAGTCTGCTTATTTCTAGAGTGTTCCCTGTCTGTCTCTCTCTCCTGAGGGTAAGGGTTTTCTTTTTTAAGGAGTGAAATAGTCACACTAGGAACCAGGTATTTCTTTATATTTGGACAATCCTAAGGACATTCAGGAGCTTTTGACTTTGGGGAAATCAACACTCTGTACACACTGGGCCAAAGAAAGGGTAACAACTCATTCACTTCCTGATTACATCAATCCATCAGATTTTCCTGTGACAAACGTCCCAGCGAGATGCGGTCACTTAGTGTCTGCTGGGCTTCTCAGGGCTCCCACGGACCTGGTGGGACACAGAGTCCCTGGGGACAGCCTCCAAGGCCAGGAGGAAAGGGCTGACTCCGAAGTTGTTACAAGTCAACCAACCAGGAAGCACAGAGCACAAAGGACATTTCACTGTTTAACACTCAAGACCCAACACCAATGCTTAAGATACCACTGTTCCCAGGGCTGCCAAACTTCACAAATATGAACAATGTGCTGACATGAAATCAATGTAGAAGATGGACCCTAAACATACAAGGCTTGAAGCAGGATCTTCACTGGGCTTCCAGGAGCCAGTCTAATGCCCGTAGCTCCTATAAATTAGCATTCCCGACATTTTAAAAGACAATTTTAATGAGATATAATGTACATATCATACAAGCCCCCTATTTAAGACAAAGAGCTCAATGGCTTTTCATATCTTCTCAAATCCTTCCTTCTTGCCACCATTACCCTAGTATTTGCAGGTTTCCATCCTGCCAGAGCTGCTCTTTTTGGACCAAGCAGCACAGACAGGACCCAGAACTTGATGTGGACGGCTGTGGCCACAGCCCCTTCAGGCTGACCGAGAAACCTGCCCTGTGGTCCTCGGTCTTCAGGAAGAACTGCAGTTCTTCTGAAGTTCTCACCAACAACCCCATGAAAAAACTATTATTTGACCACCATGTGAAAGAACCCAGTAGGAATGAAGACACCACTAGCAGCTTTGAGTCACCGGGGGGCTCAGGCCGTTCAGTGACGACGTCTTGGTTTGGATCAAGTCATGGTCTCATGGTCCTGAGGATGAGCCCCTCTTCAGGCTCTGGACTCACTGCACAGCTGGCTTGGGATTCTCTCTCTCCCTCCCCCTCTGCCCTTCCCCCCACACCTGTGAAGATGCCAGTGAAGTGCCATGTTTACTCACATTTGGGTTTGGGGAACCGGGACACCGCAGCAAGAGCACCAGGAACAACAGCCTCTGCACCTTCATGTCTTGGTCCTTTCAAGGGGTGCTGGGGCGTCAGGGAGGAGGTGGAGATGGGGGGTGGAGTGGAGGTAGGGGTGGGTGGGGTAGGGAGGGGTGGGAAGGGGTGGGAAGGGGATAGGGTTTTAATGAGGGTTGGGAGCAGGGTAGAAATAAAGGGTGGGATTGGGGAAGGCGTTTGTCAGGAGAAGAAGGGGTCAGCGACGGTGTCAGGGTCAGAGTAAGTACTCGAGGGGAGGTTCAGAAAGGGTAGTAGGTCAGCAGGTTAGTAAATCACTAGGTCAGCAGGAAACAGTAGCAGGTGAAGGGATTGGAGGAGGATACACTTTTCTCCAAGCCTTCCCCTGGTTGAACCATTCCTTAGCAACCCAGAGGCTTTATACTCTCTCTCAGCCAATCATCTGCCTTTGCCCCTGGTAGGTCATAATGGGCACCCCGCGTGACCTCATATTTAAAGAGCCCCTTCCCAACTGGCGCCCCACCACGTGCCATCCCAATAACAGGTCCTCTCTGGAACTTTGGCCATCCTTCTTGTTTCTGCTGCCTCCCAACCCAGGTCCCTGTTGCCCTCTTCTGGGCGCTATCTCCTTCCTTCCAGAACTCCCATCCTAGAGCCATTGGCTGAACAACATATAAAGCAAAGGAGGACAGAACTGCAACAACAAGCAAATACACAAGCAGAGTGGGAGGTTTCAACCCTCTCTCAGTGACTCAAAGCAGACAGAACATCCATAACATGTAGACCTTGAGAGCAAACCATCTGAATCCCACAGCTATCTCCGTATGTCTGTCCACATCCATAGACCACTGTGGAGGACACATTAACTTTAGGCATATAGGATACACTTACAAAAATGCACCCGATCTATTTTGGTCATAAGGGACATTTCAATATGTTTCAGAGGCATGAAATCACACAGAGCATGTTGTGGTAATATAATGTGCTAGAAATCATGGATAAAAAGCTCACTAGAAATTCCCATATGTTTAGAAATTGAGAAGTACCTCTACAAATAAAATAGGAGTAAAGAAATCCCAAAGAAAAAGCTACATTGGAACCGAATGAAATAAGCATGACAAAATTGTAATCAGATATGTCTTCTGGGCTGGTATATCCTGGGATATTAGTATGAGAAGACCGAATGGCCTCAAAATCATCCCTAATTGACGGAGACATTTGAACACCTCCAACAGCGGTAGATCTGTCGCTTATCTATGTGACCCTGCTACCCACTAGCTTGGGCTTTACGATATGAACCTCACAGGGGAAACAATCCAAGCTGACTCTCATGGGATCTCTTGGGACCTCCAGGAATGAGAGCATTTTAAGAGAAAACATTCACCAGCTTCTCTCCTGGGGGATCCAAGACAACACCCAGAGAGCTGGCAGCCCCAGGTGTGCTGGACGGGGAGAGCCAAGCAGGTGGGCAGGGCCAGGGACCCAGGTGACTGGACAAACCCCCTGTGATCATCTCTCTTGGGCCCTGTCCTGAGCCGAACCTCCTAAACTGTTTCTCTCTAGGACTAACACAATTAGTGTTATCTAATTGTGAGTTAATCCCAACTCATTCAGGCCCAAGGCAGCTGAAAATCAATGCTCTACAAACCACCACTTACTGTGTAAATTTCTTGTAAACAGGAACCATTTCAGCACTGCTAAAATAGGAACGCAGTATCTTTAACATAAATATAAATATATTTATATAATTAGCCATAAAATATAAAGAAGCCATAAAAGACACGCAAACAAAAACAAAACAAGGATAGCAAAACATTTGTATTAAATTCTGTTTAGAAGCTGCTGCCCGCCTCCAGAGCCCCAGAGTCGGGTGGTCCTGGTTATAGAAGGAGAGACCAGCTACAGAAGGGGTGGAGTCAGACTATATATATATAGGCCCAGCCTATAAGGGGGACTAGGGAATTCCAGGAAGGATGGCCGGGGTCACCCTGATTATAACTGGAACAGGGAGCAGGGAAGAAGAAGCAGTGAACAGAGTTTGGGGGCCTCGAACAGGTGAGATCACTCGTGGAGGTGAGGAAGTGTCCCCAAAGCCAGTGTCAGCCTCCTGTCTACGAAGCCCTTCGTGGCCCCTGGAAACAGGGCCGGGAGCCTAGAGTGTGAGATCCAGCTGTGCTGCTTACCAGCTCTGTGACCCTGGGCTGCTTTCCTTCAGGGAGCTGGGGCGTCCAAGCCTGTGTCCATAACTGTGCTGAGGACAAGAGGAAGCCCCGTGCTGAGCACCTGTGGACATTAGCATCATCATCTCCATGGGGCAAGTGCCTTCCCAGATCCGGTGCCTCACGTCTCACAGCTGTTCAAAGCAACACTGGTGACAACCAGAGGTCCCTCCTGTTTCAGGCCTGTGCTAAGCCCTGCCCTTTGCACACATCATCTCTCGGGCTACAGATGGCAGGAGGACCTCATAAAGTGTGGGGAGAGCTCCGGGCCCCTGGGGAGGCTGAGGGATTCCTGGGCCCTGGGGAAGGGTGAGTGATTGGGGGGCCCTACGGAGGGCTGGGGAACGGAGCTCCTGGGCTCCATGGAAGGCATGGGGGATTGGGCACCCCGGAAAGGGCTGGAGGAGTCTTGCAGGTTTCCTGGGTCCCCACAGGGCAGATCCCTCCCACACCTAAGCTGGTGCAGGCTGGGACCTGGAAGCAGCACCATACAGAGGCAGCGGGTCCATGGCATGCTGGATGGAGCGGTGAGGAATGGTCTGGCAGGCAGGTGGAACCACCAGGCTGGGCTGCCCTCGGTGCCTTCCCCCTTCCCCAGCCACCTCACTAGCTTGGCCCTGACCTCACCCTCCAGCAGGGCATGGGCAAGCCAGGCAGAGGTGGACACCTGGGGCCAAGGAAGGGTCCCTCCCCAGACCTCTGTGTTGTGGTTGTTGAACAGACAACAGGAGTCACCCAGGGCCCCTGGAACCAGGGGGGAGAATCTGGCCCCAGAGTCCTCTCCAATGGGGCTTGGGGAGAATCATGGAGGGACCGCATTTAGCTCTGGTTCATTCACAGAATCAAAGCACAACACAAGTCCCCTTGGATGCTCATGTCCCTTTATTACCCCAGCTACATCCTGGGCGCTCACTCGGGGACTTGGAAGCAGGAGAGTAATGGATAGTAATTTAAAAGAACAAAAATGCTGCAATGTGAGCACTCCTGATGCTCTTAAAATCAATGTCCAACACTCCCCTCCTCACCCTCCCCATAGTGAGGAAACTGAGGCAGCCAGGGATTTGGCAAAGAAGACACAGTGGTTTCTGAGGGTTTTGCTGATTACATCTGACCAAACTCCTTTTTCCGAAGGTCACTTCTTTTAATCTTGCCAGTGACGGTTTCGGGCAGCTCTGAGACAAATTCCATCTGGTCAAGGATAAAGCAAACCCATCCCAACTTAGTCCTGCTGTCATTTCTTACCAATGCCCCAGGCTCCTCCTCTGCCCCTGCACAGTCCCCCAGACGGGCTGGCACCCTGTGGTGGCCCCAGTAGGCTCCACCAAGGCATGTCAGGGTGTCCCCTGACCCAGGAAGTTGGATGCAGCCCTGTGATGTGCTCTGACCAGTGAGATGTGAGTGGGAGTGAGGCGTGCCACCTCGAACAGAACACTTGAGACCACTGGTCTGGCATCCACTCTGTCCATCTCTTCTAGCACCTGGCAGTTACCTATGGTGGGTGCTCCTTTATCCTGGTCCCAGGAAGACCATGCGGACATGTGGCCGGAGCAAGAAAGATACTTCCCTAGTAGGAGCCACTAAGACAGGGGCTACTAGTTCCTCACAGGAACATCAGCCCATCCTAACTGGCCTGCATCCTCCAGTCTACTCTCTAGGAGGCGGCAGAGCCTTACATGTGAAGGACGAACTCCGTTTTCAGATACACTGGGTTTGAGTTCAGCTCTGCCCTTTTCTTCACTCCAACCTCAGGCAATTTACTGTGAGTCTCTGAGCCTCTCCCGTTTCCATTCTGTCAAATGGATGGTTATACCATCTCAGGTTTGGGGGGATTATATGAAATAACACATGTAGAGCTTTGAGTCCAGCGCCCGGCACACATGTTCAATAAATATTAGCTATCTAGCTTTGGGTAAACACTCAGAAAGCACAGCAATGTATTATTACAAAAGAAAGACACGTTAAATTTTTGACCCATGTATCCTTGCAAACGTGGTTTTTCAACAAGTCAGATAACATGTATATTTATTCACAGCCTGCTTTTGTCTCTTAATAATATATTTTTGTGATGTTTTTTATGTTACAAATAAGAGATCTGCATCATCTTTTTAAATTATAGGACAGCATTAATTACCACGAATAATTTAATCATTTCTCTATTGTTGGACATTTTCATAGTTCTCACATGGCACTGAAAACGAGGTAGAAAAAAAATCTCTCAGAATGTATTTTATGCTACAATAAATATTATTTTGTTACCTTTTGTTTGTTATGTATCTATATATGTATTGGGCTTCAATTTAGAATATATTTCTTACTACAAATAATGTTTTTTAAAAGTGTGGCAGTTGTTGACTTGAATGTCTTTTTTTTTTCTTTTTTTAAAGATTTTCTTTTTATTTATTTGACAGAGAGAGACACAACGAGAGAGGGAACACAAGCAGGGGGAGTGGGAGAGGGAGAAGCAGGCTTCCCGCCGAGCAGGGAGCCCGATGAGGGGCTCGATCCCAGGACCCTGAGATCGTGACCCGAGCCGAAGGCAGACGCTTAACGACTGAGCCACCCAGGTGCCCCGAATGTCTTTTTCAAATTGTGAAAGATTTCAAATATCCTTCTTGGATATTTCTAGGCTCTTGGCTGATTTTTTTCTGTAGGTTTTTTGTCAGCCTTTTTGTTTTCTGACACAGGATAGAGGTTTCCATGATTAAGATGGATCTCCCCTAAACCCCTAAGTTGAATGCTTCTTCAGTAGAGAAAAATGCTCATTCCATGGGCTACGTAAGCTCCACCCCAGCCACCCCAGGAGATTTGGGGCAGCAGAGCCCAGGGCCCACTGGACGGGACCAGGCCCCATCCCTCTGCCCTCACTCACCTTCCTGGGGTACTTACACGGGGCTGGCACTGACTTCACATGCTGCTGTAGCTCCTTGGTGAGCTGGTCCCGGTCATGGGAGAGGAATTCCGGAGTCAGGACAATAAATGCCTTCACCACCTGCAGCGCAGAACCAGAGTGGAGGCTCAGGGGGAGTGGCAACCAAGTGTATAGTCTAAAAAGTAAATGTGTATTAAGTAAATGGAAAAACAAGTTGACAGTTGAGCCTCTGGAAAAGAACAGGACCAGTGTCCATACTTCCAATTTCTACTCTCTGCCTTGGAAAATTACTTCACCTCTCTCAGCCTCCATGTCCTTCTCTGATGTGGGGACAGCACGGCTTCATTCCTCAGGGCATGGCTCTCAAGATTCATCGAGATCATTCATATAAACCATGAAGCTCGTTTAAACTGATTTTTATTCCTATCATTATCATCACCATTTTCCCTATTATTATAGGTAGAGTTCTGTGGGCATTAAATCAATGGTGGTGATTAACTACGTTCCTATTATTCATGTCGCGTCTACAGGGCACAGGGCCTTGTCCAGAGTAGGTGCTCAGCACACAGTGAATCAATGAATGCTTGCTCTGGAGCCAGACTGCTCACATTCCCATTCTGGCTCCACCACTTGACAGCTTTGTGATCAGGCAACTTATTTAATCTCCTTATGCTTGTTTCTTTCCCTGTAAAAAAGGGTCTCAGAGTCCTTAATTAATGAGGTTGCTGTGAGGGGGAAATGAGCCGGCAGGTAGGAAGGGCTCAGAAATTAGGAGACGGGCAGCAGTAGCCCCAGCTGCAAGCCACATTCACAAGCATCATTTTCTGTCCCACATGGTTGAGGCCACACTGCTCTCTGGTGGCCACACAGTGTAAATGCACATGCACACCCCGGGGCCCCCCTCCACCCGAGGTCCAAGGTTGGAGAGACAGGACCAGGAGGAAGGTTTCCCGGCACCTGCCTTGGTGCCCACACACAGACACGATGACCTCTGTGTCCTCCTCACCTCCCTTCGAATTGGGTCCAGGCTGCTCACCAGAGCTGATTCAGCCACAGCCGGGTGTTCGGCCAGGGCATTCTCCACCTCTGCGGGCCCGACGCGGTACCTGCGGGCTCCTTCTTGGCTTCTGAGTGGCTGCCAGGGCCGGGTGACCCAAGCCCTCAAGTCTCATGTTTTGGAGGGTCACCTCGTCCCTTGTCACATAGGATAACTGTCACAGGAAGCCAGATACCTGTGCCCTGGCTCTCTCATGGGCCCCAAACATGAAGAATGGGCACTCCGTGCTGAGAAATACAACACTCACATGCTCCCCAGAGTTTCTCACCTCACTGCCTCTGCTCAGGGAGGAGGGTGAATATTTAGTTCTCCCCGAGCTCTGGGGCTGGGCTCAAGCAGCTTCCCTTGGCATGAAACCTACTAGAAGCCTCAGCCTTTATCTTAAACATTCATGCAAATTCTGCATACTCTTCCCCATCATATTAGCATGTTTTAGAAATTTAAAAGGTAAACACACTCAACTTCCCTGAAATAGCCAAGAGAACTTGTTACTCTGGTATAATGTGTCATTTTTTTTTTTCTTTCCAAATCACGTGAAGATTTAGGGACAACTGACTTGGAGCCAGACAGCTTTGGTAAATCTGGGTTGTACCCAGCACTCTGAAACTTTAGGGAACTTTATTCACTAGTCAGTAACCCAGTTCCTTCATCTGTAAAATGGGCATAACTGCATCTACCTTCTAGCACTGAGAGCTGGGTTATATAAAGCACTGCAGAGTGTGCATCCCCATAGTAAGTGCCCCATAAAGGTTTATGTTGTTGTTATCTATTATTAAAATTTTCAGTGATTGTTGTGTCCCATTAGAGGAGCCAAACATAGAGGAAGCTTCCTCAACAATAAGGGCCTATGTAACGTCTTCCTTCCAAATCCCTTAAATTGCATAATGTCTCATTATGGTTCGCCTTGCAGACCTTCTTGAACTACATTTTGATAGACTTTTCTGGATGCAGGGCTTGGGGGAGGTGCACAGGTATCCCCAGAAAGGGGGCCCATAGACAGAGCTCTGTTCAGAGTTAGCCTGAGCTAACCATCACCAAGCTTGGATGAATGTCAGAACAAGCTAGATCCCATGAGGCATGTGAGGGTGATGCCTCCCGGCTCAGGTCAGCCATACCTACCCAGAGGCATTGATGATGTCATCGTTCCTCCCCAGGAACCAGATGTAGCCCTCTTCATCCATAGTTGCTCTATCTCCAGAGTTGTAAAAGTCCCCACACTCCACTTTGGCTGTCTTTACTGGGTTGTCCTGCAAAGACAACAATACCCCTTTGTTGAAGGCAACGAGTTTAGAGATGATGAGCCACAACCTGGTGCTCAGATCTGGGTCTGGATCCCGCTCCTGGCTCTACTTGGCACCTGGGCAAGTTTTGTAATCTCTCTGAGTCTATTTTCATTATATCCAAGTACTCAATGAACACTACTTGTCAATTAGTGAACAATATTGAGCCAATTTTAAGGATAATTTTTTAAAGTAACAACTCACTTTTGTGTGGCGCTCTAGTATAATAAAATTTCCACTAGAACATGGACCCTGTGTATTTTATTTATTGTTCTCAGCTTAGCATTCACATAGTGCCTGGATAAATGAGAGGTTCAATACACTTTTGTTAAATGAATTTCCTTCCCAAAATACTACCTCATCTGATCCTCCCAGAAAACCTACAAGGCTTTTATTTTTCTAATTAAACTGTTTATTTTAAGATCATTGTATATTTGCAGGGTACCTGGGTGGCTCATTCAGTTGGGCGGATAACTCTTGATTTCTGCTCAGGTCATAATCTCAGGGTTGTGAGATCGAGCCCTGTGTAGGGCTCTGCACTCAGCATGGAGCCTGCTTGAGATTCTCTGTCTCCCTCCGCCCCTTCCCTAACTAATGCACACATGCATGCATACATGTTCTCTCTCTCTCTCTCAAATAAATAAATAAATCTTTTTTAAAAAGATAATTATATATTTGCATGCAGTTATAAGAAATAACACAGAGAGATCCTGTGTGCCACTTACTCAGTTTTCTCCAATGGTAGCATCTTGCAAAACTACAGTTCAATATCACAACCAGGATACTGACATTGCTACAGTCCACCAATCTCACTTAGATCTCCCAGCAGTTTACTTTTACTTTTTTGTGTGTGTCTACGTGTATTTTATCAAATGTGCATCCACCACCAGAGTCAAGTTACAGAAGACTCCCGTCATCCTGAGGATCTCCTGTGTTGCTCTTTTATATCTACACCCATCTCCCTCATCTTTTCCCTCCCTCCAAATCCCTAAGCCCTCGGCAGGGACTGATCTATTCCCTAGTTTTATAATTTTGTCACTTTAAGAGTGTTACATAAATGGAATCCTAGAGTATGTAACCTTTTGGGACTAGCTCTGTTTTTATTTTTTTCACTCAGTATAATTTTCTGGAAATTCGTCCAGCTTCTTATGTTCATCAATACTTTGTTCTCTTTACTGCTAAATGGTACTTCATGTTATGGATGAACCCCAGTTTGGGTGTCAACCCATTGAAGGGCATCTGGGTTGTTTCCAGTTTGGGGCTATTGTGAATAAAGCTGCTCTCAACATTCATGTGCAGGTTTTATGTGAGGCTAGATTTTTATAGGCCATAACAGAAGAAATGAATGCTCAGAGAAGCACAATAACTCACTCAAAGTCACCCAGCTGGTCAGTGGTAGGGTTGGTATTTGAATTTAATTCTTGCTCCACAGCCTTTGTACTCAACCACCAAGTGTTTGCACTCAAACACTCAATGTGTTGAGATCATCCCTCTCATGAAACATGAAATGATTTGAAAAAGGTCCAGGAAAAAAAAATTAAAAAAAAAAAATTGAATGACATCCCATTTTATGTTCCCTTCCAATTGTTCTGATTGTATTAAGGAGACTCTCTGACATGTTTTTAAAAGCTCTGGAACTACCAAGAGTAAGTTTCAGGACTGGAGCTTTTAGTGGGAACAGGGTTTAGCTAGAATTCAAGAAAAATTGTTTTGTTTGCATTATAGTTATAGTTATAATTGCCTTCTGTTTTTGGCAAATCATACTGTTTTCCATTTGTGATACTGATTAACTTTTTAAAAAACATATGTTTTATTTTTTTTAAAAGATTTTATTTATTTATTTGACAGAGAGAGACACAGCGAGAGAGGGAACACAAGCAAGGGGAGTGGGAGAGGGAGAAGCAGGCTTCCCGTGGAGCAGGGAGCCCGATGCGGTGCTCGATCCCAGGACCCTGGGATCATGACCTGAACCGCAGGCAGATGCTTAACGACTGAGCCACTCAGGTGCCCCCAAAAACAGATGTTTTAAAGTAAAATAATGATTATTGTGTGCATCTGTTCTAACCTATCTGGGGGGCTGCCTGAAGGACAGGTGCAAGGAACTCACTTTATGTAACTCAGAAAAAAGCAGCAGGCCCGGCTCATAGAAGCTACCAGGCAAACTACAAAAGTGAAGTTGCCTGACGTAAGAGATTATGGGTGGAGATATACAATAGACCATCAAGGTCTGGGGGAGATGCTGGAGTGAGTTTTGGGGGTTTTTTTGTTTTTTGTTTTTGAAATTAGGATGTTCAAGACAGCTATATGCATGGGGGAATTAAGACAGCCGTGAACATGCCTGGGCAAGATGCATGCTCAGCAAAGTCCTGAGAAAACCTTAAGCTTTCATCTCAGGCTGATCCCTAGGCTCAGAGCAAGTCCAGCTAAGTGGTGAAGGAGTATCCCAGCACAGAGCCAATCTGCACAGTGGTTGTTCTCTCTTCTTTTTTGGTTGGTGATGTTTTTCTTTGTTCATTTGAGCTCCTGCCCCTCAAGGAAATCTCTGTCAAAACATTAACTGAACACAAGCTAAAGGATCAGAAACCTCAGTAATCACACATGACAAACAATAGTCTTTAAAGAATTTGCAAAAGTACCACAACAAAGGACTACTATAGCCTTCAACAGTCCAAAATCAAAAAACAAAACAATGAAACCCCAGCAACCTCAACCCCCAGGGAAGTGGGAGAATCTGATTTCTAGAGTTCACTCATATGTGGAATTTAAGAAACAAAACAAATGAACATTGGGGAAAAAAGAGGGGAAGGCTAAGAAACTGACTCTTAACTGTAGAGAACAAAGTGATGGTAACCAGAGGGGAGGGGCAGGGGGATGGGTGAAATAGGTGATGGGGATTAAGGAGTGCACCCCTTACGATAAGCACTGGCTGAAGTATGTAAGTGATGAATCACTAAATTCTATACCTGAAACTAATATTGCACTGTATGTTGACTAAGTGGAATTTAAATAAAAACTTGGAAGAAATAATAAGTCAAACGTGTTAAGTGATCAAAAACTAAGAGAAAAAATGAACAAAGAACTAAAAAACAGAAAAAACTATATATGGACAAAAGATATTAAAAAATGATTCTATTTAGAATAGCAACAAAATGAATATAATACTAAGAATAAATTTAGTCAAGAAAGTGAAAGACGTACACTGAAAAATAAAAATTGTTGCTGAAAGAAATGAAAGAAGGTATCAATAAATGGAAAGACATACTGTATTAATTGGAGACTTAATATTTTCTTTAAGATTTTATTTATTTATTTATTTATTTGAGAGAGCGAGAATGAGAGAGAGAGAGTGCACATGAGAGGGGGAAGGTCAGAGGGAGAAGCAGACTCCCTGCTGAGCAGGGAGCCTGATGTGGGACTCGATCCCGGGACTCCAGGATCATGACCTGAGCTGAAGGCAGTCGTTTAACCAACTGAGCCACCCAGGCACCCTGGAGACTTAATATTAAGATGACAGTACTACCCAAAGCCATTTTCAGGTTCAATGCACTCCCTATCAAAATCTCAGTGGTATAGAAATATTCATCCTAAAATTCATATGAAATCTTGACGGATCTCAAATAGCCAAGACAATCTTTTAAAGGGAGAAGAAAGTTCTTCTTTCCAGGGAAAAGAGCTTACACTACTGATTTTTAAACTTACTGCAAAACTATACTGGAAATAATCTAAATGTCTATTAAGAAATTGATGGATATACAAAATATGGTACACCCATACAAAACTGGCATTAAAAAAAAAAAGACACATAGATGATTGTAATAAAATAGAGAACCCAGAAAGAAATCCTCACATATATGGTCAATGGATTTTAGGCAAAAATGCCAAGACCATTCAGTGGGAAAAGTCAATCTTTTCAACAAATGGCACTGAGAAACTAGGATGTTCAGATGCAAATGAATGCAGTTACCTTATACACCATATACACAAATTAACTCAAAATGGATCAAAAACCTAAACACAAGAGCTAAAATTCTGAAACTCTTAGAAGAAAACATAGGGGGAAGTCTTCCTGATTTTGGATTTGACAATTATTTATTGACTATGACACCAAAAGCACGGGAAACAAAAGAAAAAAATAGATAAAATGTTCCTCATCAAATTTTTAAAATTTTACTTGAAAGGACACTATCAAAAGAGTGAAAAGACAATGCACTGAATGGGAGAAAATATTTGCAAAGCATATATCTTATGAGGGGTTCATATTCAGAGTATATAAAGAGCTCTTACAAATCAACAACAAAACAAACAACCCAATTTTAAAAATAGGCAAAGGACTTAAATAGACAATTCTCCAGAGAAGGTACACAAATGGCCAATAAGCACATGAAAAGATGCTCAACATCACTAGTCATTAGGGAGATGAAAATCAAAACCACAATGAGACACCACATCACATGCAGTAGAATGACTATTATACACACAAAACAAACAAACAAACCTGAAAATAACAAGGATTAGCAAGGATATGGAGAAACGGGAACACTTGTACATTGCTGACAGAAATATAAAATGGTGCAGCCACTGTGGAAAACATTTTGGCAGTTCCTCAAAAAGTTAAATATAGGGGCGCCAGGGTGGCTCAGTCATTGGGCGTCTGCCTTCGGCTCGGGTCATGATCCCAGGGTCCTGGCATCAAGCCCCACATCGGGCTCCCTGCTCAGCATGGAGCCTGCTTCTCCCTCTCCCACTCCCCCCGCCTATGTTCCCTCTTTCACTGTCTCGCTGTCTCTCTCTCTCTGTCAAATAAATAAATAAAATCTTTAAAAAAAAAGTTAAATATAGAATTACCATAAGATGCAGCAATTCCACTTTCAGGTATATATCCAAAAGAAGTGAAAGCAGGAACTCAAACAGATACTTGCACACCAATGTTCATTGCAGCATTATTCACAGTAGCCAAAAGATGGAAATAATCTAAATGTCTATTAAGAAATTGATGGATATACAAAATATGGTATACCCATACAATACCATTCAGCCTGAAAAAAAAATGACATTTGGTCACATGCTACAACATGGATGAACCTTGAAAACATGTGCTAGGTGAGATAAGCCAGACACAAAAGGCCAAATGTTGTACAATTCCACTTAATAGAGGTACCTAAAATAGGCAAATTCTTAAAGCCAAAAAGTATATTAAAGGTTACCAAATGCTGGGGATATGAGGAGGAGGGGGGAGTTATTGTTTAATGGGAACAGAGTCTCCATTTGGGATGGAAAAAATTTCTGCACATGCATGGTGGTAATTGTACAATGTTGTGATTTACTCAGTGCTGCTGAATTGTATGCTTAAAAATGGTGAAAAGGGTGAATTTTATATATTCTACCTCAGTAAAGAAAAGAAAGGAAAAAAGCAAACAAATCTCAGTGGAGGAGTGACAACATATAGTCAAGAGAGCATGTGAAATGGGGTATATATCTACACAGGTGTGGGCATAGAGGAGGACATCTTTGTAAAATAAAATATGTTACTTCCAATTTAAAACAAAACTGATGTTGCTCTGGACCATCCCAGTTTAATTTAGCCAGAATCTCTATGGTTGGATCCAAGAATTATTTTTTTAAATCTCCTCAACTGATTCTAACATACAGGCAGGGTTGAGAACCACTGATCTATATATCTGTTACTCTGTTTATTTCCTCTTTTATCCAAGCCTAAAATCGTGCTACTGTGAATTAAGGCTAGGGCCTGCATTATTTGCTTTTGGTCAATAACGTCACAAAAGGAGCAGCACCACCCACCCCCAAGGCCATAGAGTGAGGCCAACAGGGACACCAATGGTTGTTCCTGTGGAGAAAGGAGACGGGTCTGAGATCAACTTCAAGGTCTGTCCACTCTCCCCTGACCAATCTTGGAAGCTGAGAATTTGCCTGGTCAAGAGTTTCAGGTTTCTTTAGAACCTGTCACAGTTTTATGTAATCCCTGGATTTCTTACGTAGGGTTTGGGAACCAAAAAGATGTGGGTTTGAATCCTAGACCTGCCATTTATTTGACGTGGGGAAAACATACAAAGCTTCCAATTTGCAGTTTCTTCCTCTGTGAAGTGGGGGCACCACTGTCCTCTCTGGAGGCTCAGCAAGGTTAACAGATTTGTGCACAGCCTGTTGGTAAGTGGGACTGTAGGATTTGAACTCAGTCAAAGCTTCCTGCATACTCAACCTCAAGAGATCATTGGACAGGCGCCTGGGTGGCCCAGTCGTTAGGCATCTGCCTTTGGCTCAGGTCATGATCCCAGGATCCTGGGATCAAGTTCCACATCCGGCCCCCTGCTCTGCAGGAGGCCTGCTTCTCCTTCTCCCACTCCCCCTGCTTGTGTTCCCTCTCTCACTGTGTCTCTCTCTGTCAAATAAATAAATAAAATCTGAAAAAAAAAGAGAGAGAGATCATTGGAACCCAAGTCTGGGGTGCTTCTTTCTACCCTGTCAGCACTTAAGTGTCAGATGGTTTTGGACAGGAAAGGATGTGAGAACACACTAGGAGCTTAGAGATTAATTAGAAGAGGCTTCATTGAGTTGGAGTGACTGAAGAGAGGTGTGAAGAAGGCTCGTAGTACAGAGTTGTATCCACCCCCTTAGTACCCACACTGCTCCCTGAAGGGATTTGGGGGGCCTGGAAGTGGGCAGGTGAGGATCACCACTTACTTCATAGCCCATGAAGAGGCCAATGGGCTTGGTGGGCTTCGTCCTGATGCCAATGTTGCCTTCAGTGTTGAACGGCAGGCTGTTGCCCTTGTCGTCAATGATCTGGAGCAACAGGCCTGTGGATCCCAACCTGCAGGGCCACCCCAACACGCCGGCCCCACCCACACAGTACCTGACTATTTGTGTGACACTGGTGAGAATAAATGGGGGGAGGAGCCCTGTCAAAAAATAGATTACAGCTGTCAGAAGACTTTGAAGTCAGGAAATGGTGAAACCCAAGTTATGGGTCTCCTGGTCTCACGGATATGCAGACGTGGCAAACGTGTCTTCAAGCTAGAAAACACAGATCAGGGAAAACTAGAAGCACCAGCTGATGGAGAGAGCTGCCAGGGCTCCCTCCAGGTGCTCTGGTCCCATCTGTTGTGTATGAGGCTTCCGGCTGCCAGGCTGAGCAGCATTCATGCCCAGGATACTGCAGTTCTCAACTGAAGCCTCCCCAGGAAATCGGCGGGAAAACAGGAGGAGAGGAAGAAGGACAACAACTGGGGTGGGGGTGGGGTGGAGTGGGCACAGCTGGTTCTGTCACCTGGTGTCCCACAATTGTTCAATCCCAGCTCAGCCCTAACTGCACCCAGCAAATGCCTTTAGGACCAGACCTGGACGTCGAAGGAGGGGATGCCTTTCCCGATGGAACCCGGCTTGATCTTCATTCCACGGAGAGTGACACAACTTACTCCCTATTCATAAAAGAAAGAAAATGGGGTTGGCCAAAGAGTCCAGGCTGATTACAAAGCATTAAGAACCACACACAGCATCCTCACTCATCCATGTCATTCGATGCTATGCAAAGAACCCTTATGGGGAAGCTAGAAGGCCCAGATTCTAGGTGCAAGGCATGGACCCAATTCTGGTCAGCAGATATTCACCACACCTGACATAGACTGGGCCTGTGCGAGCTCCTGGGGCTACCGGGTCCACTGCGAGGGGCCAAAAAAGAAGCAAAGGGGTGAGCCCGGGGCTGTGGGCATGTAACGTGAGGTGTGGAGTACGCACTGTATGTCAGACATGTGTCCGTTTGCTAGAGGAAGGCCATGATATCATTTAACATTGACTCAGGCTGTTAAACAGTGATAGGAACCCTGTCTCAACGACTCAGAGCTGTGCTGAGAATATTCAGATTGTGTTGTCCCCTCTGCTAGGCAACTGCCCCACCCCCATTTATCCTCCTGATGAACTTTATTCCTCCTTTATGGTACTCTAAAATATCTTTCTAAAGCTAAGCTAGACCAGGATTTGAATCTTTTTTTTTTCTTTTTAAGATTTTGTGTGTTTATTTGAGAGAGAGAAAAACGAGAGACAGAGTAGGGGTGGAGGGGGACGGGCAGGGGGAGAGGGAGAAGCAGGCTCCCCAGCTGAGCAGGGAGCCCAATGTGGGGCTCAATCCCAGGACCCTGGGACCACTACCCAAGCCAAAGGCAAATGCTTAACCGACTGAGCCACCCAAGGATTTGAATCTTGACTCCAGCTATGTGCCAATTAATCCCCCTTCATCTTCTCTGTAAAGGGGTAATTATAACACTTAGCTCTCATAGTACCTGTGAGTGTGTGGAAAACTCTTCACACAGTGCCTGGCACACCAAGTTAGCTCCATAAACAGTCACAACTAGCTATTATTCTGGCCCCAAGAAAAGTCAGTTGGGACATTCTCCTTCTGTAGTATTTTTTCCCACACTTCCATTGTAGCCAAGAGAGCATTATACTTCTTTTTTAAAAAATATTTATCCATTTATTTTAGAGAGATAGAAAGAGTGCAAGAGTGCTTGAATGGGGTTTGGGGAGCAGAGGGAGAGAGAGTCTTAAGCAGACTCCCCGCTGAGCATGGAGCCCTATGCAGGGGCTCAATCCCACGACCCATGAGATCACCACCTAAGCTGAAACCAGGAGTCGGAAACTCAACCCACTGAGCCAACCGAGAGCTCCCAATTATCCTTATTTTTGCTTGTCTGTTTCCCTCAGTGAATAACAAGCATCCTGAGAATAGAGACTGCCCCATTCATCTCTACTACCCTAGTATCTAGGGCAACACTTACTTAAAAACAAGAGTAACAGCAAGGTGAGCATGTACAAGAGGTTGGACATTGTAGCCAGAGCTTTATATACTTCCTTTCGTTTCCCTTATCACAACCCAGCGAGACTGGGTTATATTTCCATTTTGGAGACAGAGAAGCAGAGACTCTGGAAGGTTCAGTGCTATGCCAGTGGTCTTGAAGCCTGTAATTGGCAAGCTGAGATTTGAACCGGGGTCTGAGTTCCTGAGAGGGAAAGCTCTTCCTCCTTTGCTATGTTGCTGCTCACAGTACAGGCATGTGGAAAATGTCCCAGAGATGAGTCAGTGGCTATGCAAATACTTTGTGAAATACAGCACCACCTGGGTATGAGGCAGTATTCTGTTGTTGCAAAGAGTTGATACAAAGGAACCTGGATCATGGGTATATTGTAGTTCTCATCCCACCCTCCTCCTTGTCCAAATATAAACTATGAACCATACAAGAACTAACCTAGAGTCTTAATATTTCTTAGGCCTGGAAGCGGACCAATTAACTGATGATTTAAAAGCATATTTTTTTTTGCAAAAAAGTCAAGACGAGTATGTGAATTGAGGCTAAAATAGTCATTTTGCTCCAGCTCCTGAGATGGTAGTCGTCTGTCTGTCAGTTACAGGGATAACAAGGAGGCTGGGGAAAGTGGCCCAGCAACAGAAATGACTTGAGAATTGTGTTGGAAGATACCTGCCCCTGCCCCTACTATCATTAATAACGTTTTTCTGGTTTAAGACATGCCTGATACTCTGAATGTCCTGTCACCTGGCTAGTCAGTGATGCCTTTGGGAGTCACACTATGTGTGTGTGTATGTGTGTGTGTCTGTGTGTGTGTGTTGGTATATACAGAAAGTCTCTGTTCCCTCCCCCACTCTAGCTAGTGTCCCACAATCAAACCTGTGTGCTGTCCACATGAGCATCCAGAAATGAACTTCTGGGGCCAGCTCCTGGCTGCCTGTGGTTGCCACCCTAGGAAGGAATGAAGTAGGCAGGACTTGCTGATGGTGGGCTCCATGTTACTGGAGAGAACCTCCCATCCCGCCACCCCTCCTGGGCTCCCTAGAGCTAATGATCACAGGGATGGTAGCACCATGTCCTTACACCCCTTTTCAAAGTTTTGTCCAATAGTTTTCAGGACATTGGCCTCTTGACAAACTGATGAGCTGTGAATTGTCTTTGTGCAAATTGATTTGGGGCAAATTAGCCTAGAACTCTGAAGCCTCCCATTGGCTTCAGGCAATGTGTGAGCAGAGTGGGGCCTCTGCATATACATGGTTCAGCTCGTCTGCTGGGCTCAGTGGCTCAGCACATCCTGACTGATCAAGAAAGTACCATCTACCTACTGTTTCTACCTACTGTTTCTGACTGTCCGTAGACCTCGTAGAGCAGAAGACCTGTCCGTTTTCTCCACTGCTCTTGATCCTCTGGCAGCAGAGAGTGCTCCAGGGTAGGGAACCTGAGACTTAGGGGAAGGCAAAGTGACAAGAGAACTTGCAGTCAGGCCTTGGATGTTCTGCCCCAGGCCCAGAGTGTTAAGAGCTCAGAGCCTCGTCATCTGGATCATTCATGCTTCTGCTTCCTCATGTTCTTAGTTGCCTTTGAGGCAATTTGCTGGTGGTCAAAGCCAACTGGAAGTCACTCACTTCCTGTCAGTTCATGTTAACTCTTCTGGCAAGGGGTGGGTGGTGGCGGTGAGGCTAATGGGTTTGGATCAAAGGTTTGGATCAACTTTGGAAGCTGACATAAAAAGATGGCAAAGATGTATTTATCAGACCTTGTCTTCACACTCTCTGTGGCTATGAGGGGTATTTTATAAACTGTAAGGTGGTAGGGGATAAGATCCCAAGAGCATGTTAGGATGCTAACAGAACTGCATTGCCTTCTCTGAAGGGTAGGGTCATGTGAATTGAAGGGCTTTTGTATTTCTGAGCAGAGAATGCAAGTTAGAGGGTAGAAATGAATTGCCCAGGACATCAAGGAAGACTGGGATGTGTGTAGGAAAGGAGAGAAGGGTTATGGTAGCAGCCCTGAGAGAAAGAATTTCAGAGAGCCAAAAAGTTGGCTGTGAACATCTGTAGTAGGTACATTGCATGATGTAAATCCTCTTCTTCATTTTTCCCCATAACATTTTCTGCTAATAAAAAAACAACCACAAAATAATGATGGATTCCCTGAAGGACGTGGGGAGAAGTGATTGAGGTCTCAGTACCAGGTGGCCTGGGGCTGAGCCGGGTCAGCTCTTGGGGATGAGAGAGGTAGCAGACATCTGGTTCACCTTCTCATCCTCATCACCCTGTCCTGGTACATCAGAGTCAGAGTCAGGGACAGGAGGGCTGAGGGTGTCTTCTTCATTCTTCTGCAGCTTTATCCAAAGTAGGTAAAATGGGCAGATTCTCTGATGCAGTCATTAGCTATGCTTTGGTTGTATTTTTACTGGGTTTGGACAAAGATCATTGACTGAGGAATGTTCAAAAAGTAGCTTAATATGAGCTTTGAAATACAGATGGAAACAGGATCCAAACAGCTTGAGGCTTCATGAATAAAATCAAAACTGTGTTTCAGAGTTAGCTTCATAAGGGTAGCCACAGAACACCTTAATATTTTAATTCTATATTTACGACATGTTACTCTGATTTTTGAAGTAGCCGTTTTAATCTCAGACTCTTTAAAAGATACATAAATGCCCATAAGTTTCAAAGAGCAGATTTCAGGTTAGCTGAAATTAACCTGCAAACATGGGGAAATGCAAAAATAAAACTCTACAGTAAGATAACACTATATATCCATCAGATTGACAAAAATTAAAAACTCTGACAATAACAAATATTGCCAACGTTATGGAACAATGGGAATTCTCCTCTCCTGCTAATGGGAGCATTTCAATACTTTGGAAAATCGCATGGTAAAATGTCATGTCAGTGTGAACTAGCAATTCGTCTTCCAGAAAAATGCTACAGAAATGCATGCTTATATGCACCAGCGTACATGTACAAGAATTCAATGCAGCATTAATCACTAATAGCCCCAAAATGAAAACTACCCAGTGTCCATTAATGGTAGAACAGATAAAAAACACATCATGTTTTTATACAATGGGATATTATACAGCAATGAAACTTAACTACAGCAACATAGACACATCTTAAAAACATAATACTGAAAAAAGAAGCCAAAGATTACAGAGTAATATATGATTACACACATAAAGATCAAAAGCAAGTAAAATATGATAATTTGTTTAGGGGTATTTCCTTAGGAGGTAACCTATAAGGGAAAACAAGGAAAGGAATACCATAAAAGTCAAGACAGTAAATGCCTTTAGGGAAGAAAGAGAGCCATGCTAAGGAGCATCCTACTGAAGAATGAATGGGTCAACCAGGAAATTAAAGAAGAATTAAAAAAATACATGGAAACCAATGAAAATGAAAACACAACTGTTCAAAATCTTTGGGATGCAGCAAAGGCAGTCCTAAGAGGAAAGTATAGAGCAATACAAGCCTTTCTCAAGAAACAAGAAAGGTCTCAAGTACACAACCTAACCCTCCACCTAAAGGAGCTGGAGAAAGAACAGCAAATAAAGCCTAAACCCAGCAGGAGAAGAGAAATCATAAAGATCAGAGCAGAAATCAATGAAATAG